TCAGATCGAAGGCTATTAAAATCATCTACTCGTATCTATGTTATTTTTGGTTCCGGGCTACAATTTCAAATAGGAAGCACGCCACAAAATGGAAGGTGTTCTTTTTTTAAGTGCTTTCTAAATGATTCAATACCTTAAAACCATTTTGAATCCTTTATATAAGGCATAAACATGAATTATGTTCCATTCTATACAAAAAGAAGAAAATGAACAAGAATTAAGGTCAAAATGGTCATTTTTATTGAGATGAGTAATTCAGAACATAGAAAATTAGACCATTGAAAAAAATATTTAGGTAGTCCTACGTCCTGGATGGGGTAGGTTTCATTTCTAGTACAGGAATATGCCGTGAATTTTTCCCTGCCATTCACTATTCTACTGGTCAGGAGGCTTCATTAATACAAGTCCCTCAATATCTACAATACTTTTACCGATATCTACAATACTTTTACCGATCTTTTTTCTTAAATGTTTATAATCAGGTACTTATTTTAACATATAATATTATTAGTATAATTTAATATTCTTTTTTAAATACATGTACTTAAGTATTAATTTGGAGTACAATATAATCTTATTTCAAAATATAACAATATATTAAAAAAATCGTTCTAGTAAAGGGCTATACACAGGTATGGTGATGCTTGACTTGCAAAAGGCGTTTGACACCGTAGACCATGATATTCTTAGTGGAAAGTTAGAATTAATGGGTGTTCAGTCTATTTCCTGGTTCAGATCATATCTTTCAGAACGTTCACAAATTGTTAATATAGGAAATACTTACTCTAAATCAAACAGTGTGACATGTGGCGTCCCCAAGGTAGTATTCTAGGGCCGTTGCTTTTTCTGTGCTACGTAAATGATATGATTTTAAGTATTGATAATGATTGCAAGTTAATACTCTATGCAGATGACAGCAAATATATTTTATTCTCACATAAAGACCCGAATTTCATCTCAGAAAAACTTGGGACAGCCCTAGAAAGCTGTTCAGAATGGCTCGTAGACAATAAGCTGTCACTCCACCTTGGTAAAACAGAATGTATGCTATTTGGCCCCAAAAGAAAATTACAAAAGCAAGAAACAATTTACTGTTACATGTAATGGTCATAGCATAAAGGGTACTAATTTAGTCAAGTATCTTGGTCTTTATATCAATAGTGATTTATCTGGGGAAACTATTGTTAATAACGTTATTTCTAAAGTGAATGCCAAGCTCAAGTTTTTATACAGGCAGAGCAGACTTTTAGATACTAAAACAAAACAGCTTTTATGTTCAGCCCTGATTCAGTGTCATTTTGACTACTCTTGTTCCTCTTGGTATGAAGGTTTATCAAAACATTTGAAAAGAAAGTTACAAATTACTCAGAATAAGGTATTAAGATTTGTCCAAAACTTACCGCCCAGAACTTCTGTAACAGTGTATGAGTTTGAAAAATTAAATTGGTTAAATGTAGAAAACAGAGTCAAACAGTTAAGACTAAATCATATGTATAAGATTTTTTACAAAAAGAGTCCATCATACCTTAGAGCCGACTTTAGATGTTGTGCTGATGCAAGATTTTACAATACTAGATCAAGCAATTTTAATTTTATTGTCCCCCAGTGTAATTCTGTGATGAAACAGACCTTTTATTATAATGGAATTAAAGACTGGAATGATCTGCCAGAATATATATAATCCATTAATAATTTTGTGCAATACAAAAAATCTGTTAAAAAGTACCTACTAGAAAGTTATAAAAGTCTTTCAGAAGATATATATGTGTACAACTAATGTGTTAGGCACTGTGATCAAATATTTCTGTGATAGTAATACTAGGCTTATTTTAAAAAGGGCATACTTTTATAAATATATTTCCTTTTTCAACCAAAATTTTGACCAAAGTTAGTTAGTTTATTTTTTTATCTTGTTTGTTTTTTTAGGGGGGGGGGAGGGTTAAAATTATGTTAGTTTTTTTTATTTCTATGGACCCCATTGGAAATAAGCATTTAGCTTAATGGGCTATCCATAGGTGCATAGTACCTCTTATTTTATTTTTTATGACAAAAGTGTGCTCTTTTATGCTGTTTTATGATCTCATTTTATATATATGATTTATTTATGTTATCTCTTAACTGTATGATTTTATATTTTGTATCTTGTGCTATGTTCCTAAAATGTATAAATAAATAAAATAAAAAATACCTATTTCAACAAATATTGCTCCAGTAAATTAAACTAATCAGTTCTAGTTTTTTTTCCAGTCGTATATTTGTTTAAGTTGTAATTTTCTTAAATAGCAAGCATGACTCCGTACTTCAAACACACATAGTGCAAATAACTACACAGCAATAAAGTCAGGGAAAATTCTTCTCTACTAAATCTTTTTGGGTAAAACGTTACTCGAGTTGCTTCCCTTGACATTTCATTTCGTGATGTAATGTTTGAAGAACTTCAGAATCAATTTTCAGACATATCCCTATATACACACTATCATATCTATATTTTGAACAACTTTTGAAAATTTAAACAAGGGTGCCATAGTCACAAAATACGCCCGTTTACGAAAGCTTTAGATGGAGATGGGGGCATTATGGATAAGTGTTATCTAGCAAGCAAGTTTTTATTCTTGGCACTGTGTTGTTAAATGAACCTTAAAACAAATCAGTAGGGAAGATATGCACAGGATGTGTGACCTTGACCTTGGTCGCAGGGACTTGAATTTTATGCACGGCACTCAGCCTCACAATGATGAACATTTGTGCCAAATTATATTGAAATCCCTCTATGCATGTAGAAGTTTTGCTCCAGACAAGCGTTTTTCTATGAGCTCTAACTGTGACCTTCACCTTTGACCAAGAGACTTGGTTCATGTGCAGGGCACTACGTCTCATGGTGGTGAACAATTCTATAAAGTAACATTAAAATTCCTCCATGCATGTAGAAAATATGCTCCGGACAACATCTGGATATTTAATCATCTCCAGTGACCTTGACCTTGCAAATATTAACCTAAATTAAATGTGTCACACCTGTAGTCATGATAGTTACCATTTGTGCTACAATTCATCAATAAATGATGACTAAATGATCCCTATACACATCTTCAAATTTTTATCTGAACTTTGACTTCTATGTGTAACCTTGACTTTGGTCGCAGGGATCTGAATTTTGCGTGCGACACTCAGCCTCACAATGGTGAACATTTGTGCCAAGTTATATTGAAATCCCCCTATGAATGTAGAAGTTTTGCTCCGGACAAGCGTTTTTCAATGAGCTCTAAGTGTGACCTTGACCTTTGACCTGGAGACCTGGATCATGCATGGAGCAATACATATCATGGTGGTGAACATTTCCATAAAGTATTATAAAAATTCTTCCATACATGTAGGAGATATGCTCCAGACAAAATCTGGATATTTCACCATCTTTAGTGACCTTGACCTTATATATATTGACCTAAAGTACATGTGTCACAGCCGTAGTCGTGATAATGACCATTTGTGTTACAATCCCTCAATAAATGATGATTAAATCGTCCCTATACACATCTTCATATTTTTATCTAAACTTTGACCTCTATGTGTGACCTTGACCTTGGCTGCAGGGACCTGAATTTTGTGCGCGACACTCCGCCTCACAATGGTGAACATTTGTGCCAAGTTATATTGAAATCCCTCTATGCATGTGGAAGTTTTGCTCCGGACAAGCGTTTTTCAATGAGCTCTAAGTGTGACCTTGACCTTTGACCTAGTTCATGTGCGTGACATGGCTTCTCATAATGGTGAACATTTCAATGAAATTTCATTAAAATCCCTCCATGCGCGTAGGAGATATGCTCCGGACAAAATCTGGATATTTCATCATCTTTAGTGACCTTGACCTTGTATATATTGACCTAAATTATATGTATCACAGCCATAGTCTTGATAATGACCATTTGTGTTACAATCCCTCAATAAATGATGACTAAATGGTCCATATACACATCTTCATATTTTTATCTGAACTTTGACCTCTATGTGTGACCTTGACCTTGGCCGCAAGGACCTGAATCTTGCGCGCGACACTCCGCCTCACAATGGTGAACATTTGTGCCAAGTAATATTGAAATCCCTCTATACATGTGGAAGTTTTGCTCCGGACAAGCATTTTTCAATGAGCTCTAAGTGTGACCTTGACCTTTGACCTAGAGACCTGGTTGATTTGCGCGACACTGCTCCTCATAGTGGTGAACATTTCTATGAAGTTTCATGAAAATCCCTCCATACATGTAGGAGATATGCTCCGGACAAAATTGGACGCCGCCCGCCCGCCCGCCAGGGGCGTTCCCATAATACGTCCCGTTTTTCAAACGGGCGTATAAAATGATAGAGTATACGGGGGTTTGTTTGAAAGGTAATTCTTGATAATATTTTGGGCAGTTTGTGTAATATGTACTACAAGAATTCCTTCTTCCCTCGTACAGCCACAACCTGGAACAACCTAACTGCCCCCGTTGCAGAGGCCCCTGACTTGGTATCCTTCAAGCAGGGGTAATCATCCCTTACATTCTAATCCGCCATTAGGGGCCTAGCTACAAGTACCCACTAGTGATATCCAAGGCTGTGCCGGCCGCGGCCACTGTAACCGGAGAGGTTTGGGTTGAAGAGGCGAAATATAGCTGGCCAGACTTTTTGTCTATATCTCTTTCTTTTGACCTATCCAACCTCTTCTAACTTTCTATCATTTCATGTATATTTCTTTTTCTTGACCTAGCACCACCCGTCTCGTTATAATCAAGTGTGATTGCGCCGACGTACGATGTAGATGGGTATTATTTGATTCGTTTTATGATTACTGAAGGTCTCTTGTGTCAGTGTCCTATACATTCGCATTGGAACCCTTAATTTGCGCTACATATATCTACATCTAATGTACCTTTAAATGTCAACCGTTCAATACGAAGTACTTTTTGTTAAAGCAAAGAAGCTTGGGGACTTTAAACGTAAGTCCTTGCCCATTGTACAGCAAGATGGACATAGTTTAAAGTTTAATATAAAAGAAGAATATTCAAATATATAATTGCTATAAATCTGTATTGCAGAATAATAAAACATTCCAATAAAAAAAACATAACAGTAAGATAAAAAGCTAAAAAAAAAAGAAATGGAACAAAACAAACATCATATCCTGACATGAATATTATTCAATACATGTACATTCATGACAAAATAAGCTACAAGATATTTGAATATCACAGGCATGCTTGTATTCTTTATCACTGTTCCAGCATATATAACCATTAGGCTGCCGGCGCCGACTGAAATAACATATGCCACCAGGGAGGCCAAGATTACTTGGCACATAATGCTGTATTTGTCACAGTCTGCACTGTTCACTATTCAGTCAGAACATATTGAGAACTTTCACTAAAAATATTAAGTGAATTAACAATATTATATTTTCTTCTGGTTAAACAAGCTTTTCTTTAAATTGTGGATTATATCCTGACCTGGTAATGTTACAGTAAAATTATCAAAATGTAACATCACTGAAGTCAAATTAAATTCAAAAGCTTTTGGTACTTAGCAAATTATCATGAAAATTTAAGCATATATTAACTCCTTTGTTACTTTATATTTACATACATGATTACTGTAAGAACATTTATACTTGTACACTTGGTGTTAAAATGAATTAAAAGTCTACAAATCTTGAAGAATAAGATATCAACATAGATATTGTGACACTAAAGAATTGATAACATTAAATTATAATAATTGATAACATTACTAATTGATAACATAAATTAGCTGATAACATTTATTAGCTGATAACGGCAGCCAAAATCAGTTTAATAAATCATAAATCACTAAAAAAGATAATATTTTTATTACATGTATAACATGTAAGATTGAACAAAATTTCACAAGTGACCACGAGCAATCACTAATTTTATTTTAAGTTAACCATTAATGGAAATATTACACATTATGTTCACTCAGTGAAATACATTTTACACGGAAACAAACAAATATCCTCTATTTTATGTAAATTCTTTTTTTTACAATATTATATGAATACATAAGACTGTTGAGTAGACCGAAGTTGCAAGCTCAATCAGCTTGTACTTTAGTCTTGTAATCTCAACATTGTGCGTTGGATTTCCTAGTCCGGACAATTAAAATTACTAAAACAGTCTTTCGAATGACACTTTTAAATCAAGGTCCTGTGTATGAGAGCTTAAACACTTGGCATACTAAAGAACTAGAAGCTTCTGGAATTTGGGCAACCTTTTGTATCTTGCATTATCCTCCAAAATCTAAAATGACTAATACTCTCCTTGATGATTCGCCCATTTGGGCAACCAGTGGCAAGCATAAATAAACTCAAATCTACACACACAGATATAAGTTGTCACGATATCTTACATAAGATGTATAAAGAATGCTGTATACTATGTGCATATATCTAACTTAATGAATGACATCAATATTGTTCCAAAGTTATCCATCAGTATATTTCACACTTGCAGATATTTCAGTAAAAATCTTTATCGTTTCAACAAAACTTGTAAAATTGGGGTTATACTAACAGAAAGACAATAGCAACATAACAGACAAAGGAAGTCCTTAAATCTTACTCTATGTATCATTCAAGGCATTGCTATAGGAGTAGCATGGTGAACCATCAATCTTTCATAAGCTAGCTAGAAAGGTTTCTCACCAGTCAAAATGATGTAGCCATCTTGAGCCATATGTCAGAGTAGCACACTAATGTTAAAGTGCCTATACTCACTATACATTATAAATGAATGATATGGGACCTCTTCCATTATTCACTTTGTCATTACAAACTACTGCTTGTAAAACTTCAATTCAATGTGACGTTATTGCATAGAATTAAACACAAACTATATTATCCCAAAACTGTTATTCATATGAGGCCTATTTAAAGTTGGAATTCAACTCCATAGGTTACCTATCAATCCACTAATTTTTGTGGCCAATTCTCTCCTAGCATGAGTTTTACGTGCTGACAATGCTGTCCTAATTTTGTATTTCGATCGCCAGATTTTTATGAGGCCGTCATCACAAACTGTAACACAAGTCTCTTGGTCGACAGGTGAGAAAGCTATACCATTGACGACAGTACTATCGTACAATGACATCACATACAGCGTGTTGTTCCCTGTATCGCTGACTGAGTGAAACAACCTGCCTATAGGAACACCATAATGTCTGTCCCATAGATACCCTCTCAAATCTTCGCTACCACTGTAATAAAAATCATAATACACAGAATTACATTTCTTAAACTCAATACATCATAAACAAGCTTACAGGTCACTATAGGTCAGCTGACCAACAGACCTAAGAATCAGCAATCTGGTATTCCTAGTACAATGAATTATGTGTTTAATTTACATTAAATTTGCATTTATAACAATATGTTAAAAAACTGTTGAAAATGATTCAAATGTATAAATTTCATGTTAATTTGCCAGAAAAGAAAATAAAAATAAGAGAAGGACTAAATACAAGAGAGTCATAAAGGCTCTAGATTGTTTACCTCTTCTATACAAGGTCATAATTTCTGTCATGTAGAAGTAGGTCACTGCCTTATATTTAAGAAAACCCAAGGTCAAAGTTCAATACCATTGAATGCCAAAATTTGATAACTTAGTATACATCATGTTAAATATCAAACCCAATTGCCTGTGTAGAATCATTTATTTAAATGGATATAACATTAAGTATATGTACTCAAGTTGAACATAATTGTCATAAAATTGTCTATACTGGTGATACTAGATATAGGCTCTCCAATGCTGCTTTGCCACATCTCAAATCATTGACGAATAAGGAATAATAGCAAAATGAAAATTTTGGCATCAGTAACATTAAACCAATCATATTCAAAACCAGTCATAGAGTCAATATAAGCCTATATTATAATCATAGGTAATTACATAAAGTCTCTGAAAAGGAAAAGAGCAAAATCTATTTCAAGCCCCTCAGAGATTTTGACCATTCATATCTAATAAAGTCACTGAGGCATATCAACATGTCTTACCTTCCTATAAAATCAGGACTAGCATCCAGACATATATACCAGGCAGGATATGCTGAAAAAGCTACATGACCTGTAAACTCACGGTCCTTGACTCTTTCCAAGGTCACAAGGTCAATGCAGCCTATTTTTAGTTCTTTGTCAAACACCTTTTCTGATACTGGTAATTCATCTTCAGGGTTATCTACCTTGTTTTCTGGTGCATTTTTATCCATTTCACGGAAGTTAAAGTACAAGTGCCTGGAACAAAAATGATTTAACAGATAATATTTTACGTCAAAGGTATATATTATATATACTTGGCAGCAATGATGTTAATAACATTTATGCAAAAAAATCTTACACTTCTTCAATCTTACTTTTCAGTATATTTCACCTGCTGAATGTCAGTGTTCCTGATGCAAGGCAGTATTTTTTTTCATCTAGAGACTGAGTGCACCACAAGAACCCCTAAACCTAGCCAGCCATCTTATAATTTTCAAATCATTACTTTTGTATAAATGAAATTTTATTTTTTGTCATCTATTAGTACTTCAGGCATAACAACAAACCACAAAAGAATTATACATGGATGCTGTTGGCAAGTGTGTGATGCATGATCCAACATTACATATAGTCAAACTTGCCACTTAATATACATGGCAAGTTAAGACTTATTTATAAAGCAGTAGAACAAAATATTATCCATATAACTTTATCAGTCTTTTTTTTTCAAGCATTGTTTTATAAGAATAGTGAAACGAAACATTTCTATTAATTTATCAATACATTGTGTATTTGAAATTTTATTTAAAAATGTGTCCATTGCATATGTGTGAACTTTTTTTGATGATCAATTGTGAGATTTTTCTTCAAAAAGAGGGAGATTTTAGAATTTGCAATAAACAAAGAAGAAAGTTCTGACACCAAAAGAAGGGAGATTTCTTTATTTTGTGAAAATACCCCTTATTTTAGGAAAAATCTTTGAAAATATGGCTGCAGAAAGTGGGAGTCTCCCGCTTAAAATGGGAGAGTTCACATGTATGCCATTGTAGACCAATCCACTTTAACCTATTACTGCATGAGCATGTAGTGAAAAATAACTGTTTTCACTGAAAAGCCTCCTGTTACAAGTTCAAATTGCTTTGAAACTATAAAAGATGCTTCAATATTCATCAAACATGGCACAAAATGTTGAGCGAACCATAGCCTTTGTAACGGCATGCTCAATCTTAAATTTCCTTTTACCATGGCAACAATATGACATCTCAAGATTGCACAAAATCACTATTTTGTGTTGATTTTTTCCATCAAAACTGATTTTTTACCATTTGAGGCCTAGAGGGTGGGGGAGGGAGGTGACAAGGCATGAAAAGACATCTATATGAAGTAATAGGTTAAGAAAGAAAGATGGTATTACCGTTTGAATTTATTACCTTTGATCATGAGATAGACATAAGCCTGTAATATAGCAATCCTTAAGTGTAACTGAGTGATCTATTTTATCAATGTCATCACCATGAACATCTTCCTTCCTACGCTGATTGCAATGTTCATCCAAAATTTTTGAACACGATTCCGAAGAGATTTCATGGATAGCTATTACAGTATGTTCACCAGCAGTGAATATCACATATTGTTTAACATTTTGGCACAATAATTCTGATTTGTCGGTAATATCTGTCCTCCTATATTCTGGCAAGACTGTAGAATCATTTTCGGAATTATGAATATCACATGTTCTATTTACATTTAAACTTAAAGCTCCTTCTACAATACCAGTTCTATTTATAGATTCTGTGTCCATGAACTCATTTTTCGGTGTCTCAGCACAGTCACATGACCCTGATAAATCACCTGACCTTGATTGATCACATGACATTGTTGAATCTATATTTATCACAGGTACATTAGCAACAAGCATGTTCATCAAATGGTGTCTGTTTCCTTGAAAGGTAAATAATCGTATTGCATTTCTGGTGTATGGAATGTCTGCAAAAATACTGTATTCCCCATCTGGATTTTTATGTTTACTTGAATCTGGTGTCAAATAACAATTTAAAATATCACAATCTCTAACCTACAAATAAATGAAAGACAATATAGTAGATTAAACTAACCTGCTCAGACACATCCTTCCACATTAAAGAAAACTTTTTAAAAGTGTGACATTTATGTGTAATTATTTCCACTGTACTCACTTAAATACACATATAGTCTCTAATCAAAGTGCAAAGTACATATCGCATACACTCTCTAATCAAAGTGCAGAATACAAATGGGCTGGCTCTCTGTTTCCTTATAGAACTGTCATTGAATCAGCAAAGCATATGACGATACATCCATATCAGATAACAATTATCGGCGATACACCAATATACCAATAAATGCTCCCAGTTTCTTGTATATAATTCACTTTCATACCTGTTTAAATGATCTTAGTAAAATAAAAGTTTGGCTTTCATTGACAGCTTTTCATAAGTGTTCCCCATACAGAGGCATTCTATATTAGAGATCTCACTTTAAATCTTGATTCAATTTACCTTATATGCTTGAATATCTACTTTGTCTGATTGTTCTTGAGGTAAACTGGTAAGAAATACTCTCTCATTGAGCCAGGCACCAAATATAGTGGGTGGGGCCATCTCAGCAACACACACAATATTTAAATCTGTATGAAAATTAAAAAAAGACTTCTTATTCCAATATGCCAACTTAAATTAAATACCAACATTATCAGCACACATTCAAATCAGTAGTTAAAATATACATATATATATATGCACCTGATGTTCCAGAACATTGCTGACTCAATATAGTGTTAAGTTAAATTTATGATTAAGTAACAAGCACAACAAAGTACATGTATAAATTAAGTAAATCACTGTCAACACTTTATTCTTTCAACATAAAATTCTAGGAAGTAAGTGGTACACTTTCCCCTGTCATAATAACCTCAAACATACATGTACATTTTATCGTAACAGCTCAAGTGTACAAAGGTACAATATCAAGGTCATGGAATATAAATGAAATCACTGTACCATGTCTTGCAAGCCTATACAATTTAATGTGTACCCTGTCTTGTGCGCCAATTCAATTTAATGTCTCCCCTGCTTTGCGAGCCTAAACAATTTAATGTGTACCCTGTCTTGCAAGCCTATACAATTCAATGTGTACCCTGTCTTGTGAGCCTATACAATCTAATGTGTACCCCATCTTGGGAGCCTATACAATTTAATGTGTACCCTGTCTTGCAAGCCTATAAAATTTTGAGGTGTACCCTGTTTTGCAAGCCTAAACAATTTAGTGTGTACCCTGTCTTGCAAGCCTATACAATTTAATGTGTATCCTGTCTTTGGAGCCTATACAATTAATGTGTACCCTGTCTTGCATGCCTATACAATTCAATCTCTACCCTGTCTTGAAAGCCTATACAATTTAATGTGTACCCCATCTTGGGAGCCTATACAATTTAATGTGTACCCTGTCTATACAATTCAATATGTACTCTGTCTTGCAAGCCTATACAATTTAACCCTTTCACTGCCATAGGGACGGCTTAAGCCGTCCCTCTTATTTTCGGCGTATTTGCCATATGGACGGCTTTAGCCGTTTCAATAATAATAATAGTAATAATAATAAATTAATAAAAATAATAATAAAAATAATAATAAATATAAAGAAAATTATACCATCGACAATAATTATTATTATACTAACAGATTTGGAAACATATATTATTATTATAATACTAATAATAAATAATAATTAATTATATTAATTAATAATATAGTAATTTCTTAGAGAATCCTCTGGCAAATAGGTGAACAATAAAACAATAACCCTCTGGCAGCGAAAGGGTTAATGTGTGCCCTGTCTTGCAAGCCTATACAATTTAAGGTGTACCCTGTCTTGCAAGCATATACAATTCAATGTGTGCCCTGTCTTGTGAGCCTATACAATTTAATGTGAACCCTGTCTTGTGAGCCTATACAATTTAATGTCTACCCTGTTTTGCTACATGTAGCCTATACAATGCCTACCCTGTCTTGGGAGCCTATACAATTTAATGTCTACCCTGTCTTGTGAGCCTATCCAATTTAATGTGTACCCTGTCTTGCTACATGTAACCTATACAATGTCTACCCTGTCTTGTGAGCCTATACAATTCAATGTGTACCCTGTCTTGCGACATATACAATTTAATGTGTACCCTGTCTTTGGAGCCTATACAATTAATGTGTACCCTGTCTTGCATGCCTATACAATTCAATCTTTACCCTGTCTTGCAAGCCTATACAATTTAATGTGTACCCTGTCTTGCTAGCCTATACAATTCAATGTCTACCCTGTCTTGCGAGCCTTTACAATTTAATGTGTACCCTGTCTTGCATGCCTATACAATTCAATGTCTACCCTGTCTTGCAAGCCTATACAATTTAATGGGGTACCCTGTCTTACGAGCCTAAACAATTTAATGTGTACCCCATCTTGAAAGCCTATACAATTTAATGTGTACCCTATCTTGCAAGCCTATACAATTTATTGTGTACCCCATCTTGGGAGCCTATACAATTTAATGTGTACCCAGTCTTGCTAGCCTAAACAATTCAATGTCTACCCTGTCTTGCGAGCCTATACTATTCAATGTGCACCCTTTCTTGCAATAACAGAAAGTTTATACTAGTTTTTATACTTTGACAGTGCAGTAAGTCGAACTTTGCAAATTTTACAAGCAATTTTCAAAGTATCTGACTTACCCTTAAATAATGCATTATTTCTTACACACAAATAATATGAAGATATTCACTTTGTATGCTGTCAAAGATAAATTTACCTGGTGTTATGCAAAAGTACTGACCTTTACATTGCATTTTTAACTTTATATCAGTATGATATAAGTATAACAGATTTTTCAGACATGTAATTGACTTGTAAACATTACCCAAATTACATTGTTACATTGTGTATATTAGATATATACCTGGTACGGTTAATACTGCCACTACTCCATATCCCCATCTTGAAAAATCGTCCCAATCATCTTGAGGTACATGAAAACGTTGCACTCCACACACTAGTACAAGAGCATCATCAGGGGAGAATGCTGAGTACTGTGACAGCTCCCATTTCAATAATAAATTTGTATCAATGGACTTTATTAACTCTGTTTCTTTGCCAAGTTTCCACATCTAAAACATAATTTTACAGTATTTTGGGCCTTACATTTTTTTAAATTCCTACCAACAAAAAAAAAACCCATAAAAAACTTTTCCCAGTTTTAAAAAGTTTTCAAAGGGGGAAAAAGGCACACACATTTGGGGTTTAAATGAAGATCTAAACCTTTCTTAAAACCCAAAAAAATTTTTTCCTTGTTTTGGGGTCAATAATTATTGATTTTTTATTTTATAGGCCCAATTAAAAAATACGATTTTTTTAAATATTTAAAAAAAGAAACAAAAACAATTTAAAATTAGGGGGGTTTGGGATTTGACAAAACCCAAAAAATTTTTTAAAATTTTTAGGCATTTGGAGAAATTTTTAAAACTCAAATAGCTTAGGTTTAAAAGCTTTAAAACTGTGGGTTTAAAGTGACCAAAAAACAAAATTTGAAAGGGAAACCCATCTAAAACTCCCCAAAAATACTATTTTTATCAATAATTTTTCCCCGGGGCCCTTTTAAAATATTTTTTTTTATAAAGCCAAATATTTTAGGCAATATGAATAATATACATTAATTTTATACATATACAGGTCTCCAAGGACAACCTAGAGGATGCCAAAGAAATTTTAATAATGATCCTGAGAGGTTTTCTTACAATGTTGTCACTGAACCAGCCATTTTCAAATGACACATACTTTTCCAATGTAATAGTGAATGACAAAATTGACGCCTGAATTACAAGCATCAACCTATTTCATTAGCTAAGCCTTAATTCTGGGCTCTGTTAGTCACAAATTCACACATGCAGTTAAGACAGACTTAATTACAAATGTTACAGGTTGAGAAAAATGTGCAGCCTGACTAGGACTCTAACCATGGACCCTCGGAAAATACCATGCCACGCCTCTACAGACTGAGCATCCAGACGCTTATAAATTCTTTACCCTAATAGATGAACAGTTCTAGACTGTGATACAAATTTCTTAGTTGGAAACCAAGTTAAATCAACTCTTTTTTATACTCTTTAAAAAAAATGAAGTGTCTTCCTTTGATTTAATGCATTTAATACACTTAGCTTATCTTACAATGATAAGAGCATCTTTGGAGCAAGTACAGAAGTACTCTCCATTGTGAGATATAGACACATCAAGAACTTCATCGGTGTGCTTTTCTAATGTCTCGCAGCATTCAGTAGGCACATGGTCAGTCAGTCGTCTCACTTCTTCATACCAGGATGATTTCCCAGGTGCCAACCCGCCTGTAATAAATTACATGTAAAATAGTAAGAACAAAATTACAAAATTGCAATTTAATATCAAAAATTATAATGTCAAAATTTTTAATGTCAAGTTTGAAGTTCCACACTACGCTTGAATTCTTGGTAAATGTTATAAATGATCCTGACACAGTTCATATACGCTTTTGGTTAATAAAAACAAAACCATAAAAGTCTTAATAGAGACTGAGTTCATTACAGGAGTGCCATAACAACTGTGTAACATAATCAAGGGAGACAATTATGATATTTGGGTTTAACTAAGATATAACCTACCATGAGTGCAAACATTTGAAAATTATGAGTACAGACTTGAGCTGAACGGCCTAGGGTTTTGATATCAAGGTAGGAGAAAATGTCTGACAAACAATAAAATATGAGGTTAGTCCATTTCACAATTTTTTTCCTGATGCCTCTATTTAAAATGGGGACAAATAGCCTGTCGTCAGCAGTTAATTAGTTTAAACAAAATGAATACAACATGTTATTATATACAGATACACAAGTGAAAAAGGACTAGAACCAAAAGCTATGAAGCTTATAAATGTCTTCTCCTATATAATTGTACAGTCAGTAATTGAATTCACCCATTTGACCATTCAGACAAAGATCAGCCAGCACAAACACGCTGTTTACTGAGAGTTATTTAGTTTGTAAATAGTTGTTTTGAATTTTCCCCTGAAAATGATGAATTTGTTTACTAGACAAATCCATTAAAGATTTTCCTTTAGGTTGGGTTTTGAGTTGCAACACATAGGTCATATGGTAACTTACTAGCTTTACTGGATGAGGAAGACCTCAGGTGCCCTTTCTTGCATTTTTTTAGGCATGAACAGGCATTTGAATAGAACCACTGACATTCCGTTAGCTTGCTGGATAGCTTACTCACATAAAAGTCCCTTAAGTGGGATTTGAACGCACAGCAATGAAGGGCAAGTGGTTTGAAGTCCATGACATTAACCATTCAGCCATTTAGCTTGGAATTTGGTAAGGGTTAAATAATATCAACATTAATATGTCTCCCTACCTGTTACTTTCCATACTCTCTTGATAATATTATGCCATAGAAACTCATCATAGACTACCCTCCTCCATGTCGTACAGACTTGAGCTGAACGGCCTAAGGTTTTGATATCAAGGTAGGAGAAAATGTCCAACAATAAACTATCAGGTATAATATTCTGCCATGGTGATTCCATTTCACAATGTTTTTCCCTCTGTCACTTTATCATGGACTGGCAGGAATTATATTATACCAACTGCATCTATTTAGTTTCTGCTCTTTCTGAAAAAAAAAAACGTTAACAATCATTGCCCGGAGGCGAGTGACACGAGTTGTGTTTGATTTTTTATGTAGACAATTTATGAGTGACGAATATCAACTGGAATGTAATCTCTAATATTGGCAATTGGGATCAAGGTTGAAATATCAAGATTTTTTAAATTCCCACTGTGATATCACATTCATGATATTAAAATACATCACAGGAACTTGAAATTCTATCAAATAACCAATATTAATGATAATATCCAAATATACCCCCTATATACTATAAATAGTGTTTTTTTTTATATATAATATGGGGGTATATTTTGCATATTATCGTTAAAATGATTGATAGAATTTCAAGTTCCTGTCAATACATGTATATTGTCCAGTTAATTGGATTAATTAATAACCTGCCGATAACATGTGCAGCACTGCATTTTCCAAATCTCTTCACTCGTTTCTGCTGTTCCTCTTATATCATATACAGACTGTTGAGGAAGAGCTTAACCTGGGTATCATTTTATCAGTTTATGTCCCAGACCCAGATCTAAACATATCATGATATCTAAACACTGCAAAAAAATTAGAAAGGAAATAAAAAAAAATCAACAGAAGAGAGTAAATCAATAAAATTTTATAATTAAGTAAATGAAACTATGAAATGAAAAATTAGTAGAAAAATACCTGTTGATTTAATGCATCATACTTAAAAATCATGACATTAAATTAATTAATTAATAATTTTACAATTTTACTTTAACTGTTTAATACACAAATTACATTATCACGACGTGTTAATAGCACAGACGGTGTTAACGCGGTATGCCTAAAATACGAAAGTGAGATTTTTGACGAAAGTGAGCGAAAGTGACTTTTAAAATTTGAATTGTACCGTTTTAATAGAATTTTACAGTGAATTTTCTGTTTGTAGACGTATATTATTTGCAACTTATAATATTCTTTTCAAAAATAATCACTATGATGATTTAATCGCCATTTATGTGCATAATTTATGTGCATAATTTCTATACACAAGTTCTGAGATCTTCCTTTCGCTCACTTTGAAAAGTACGAAAGTGACTTGTAAAATATTAAATATAGAGTTTTAATTGAAATTTATACTTAAATTGCAGTTTGTAGACGTATATTATCAGAAATATATAATATTTTTTTCAAAAATAATCATTATGATGATTTTTACCCCATTTTTTTCCATAATTTCTACATACATGTACAAGTTCAGCAATCTTCCTTTCGCTCACATAGAAAATTCTGAAATGTCAAATATAGTGTTTAATTGAAATATAGTGTTGAATATCAAAATTATTAATTTCTGATAATATAGGTTTACAAACTGCAATTTAAGTACAATTTCAATTCAAACTCTATATTTGATATTTTACAAGTCACTTTCGTATTTTCGATGTAAGTGAAAGGAAGATCACTGATATTGCATATAGAAATTATGCAAAAAAAGGGGTATAAAACTATAAATCATCATAATGATTAATTTAGAAAATAAATAATATTAATTTCTTATAATACACGTCTACAAACTGCAAATTTAGTACATTTTCAAATTAAACTCTTTTTTTATTAACAGTTCCCTGACAACGCGCCTGCTAGTCATAATCAGAATTGATTGTTAAGCAGTATAATGTAGATGTAGATGTCATATCACTGTTCACTTTCGTATTTTTCTATCTGAGCGAAAGGAAGATCGCTGAACTTGTATATAGAAATTAGGCCAATAAATGGCGATTTTATCATGATTATGGTTATTTATTATAATATATATAATAAGTTGCTAATAATATACGTCTACAAACAGCAATTTTACTGTAAAATTCTATCAAAACGGTACAATTCAAACTTTAAGTCACTTTCGCTCACTTTTGTCAAAAATCTCACTTTCATATTTTAGGCAAACTTTGAATCCTTTATATCGGGCATAAACATGCATAATAATGTTCTATTTTTACAAAAAGAAAAAGAAGAAGAAAATGAACATAAATTACGGTTAAAATATTCATCTTTGATCAGATAAGAAAATTAGACCACTGAAATAATTATTTAGGTAGTCATGCAAAAATTCTGGCGGTGGGGTGGGGTAAGGTAGGCGGGGAAGTCCAGGTTTCTTTTCTTGTGTCATGAATTTCGGGTGCCATTCATTAATTTACTAGTCAGGAGGCTTCGTTAATACAAGTCCCTCGATATCTACAATACTTTTACCGATCTTTTTTCTTAAATGTTTATAATCAGACACTTATTTTAACATATAATATTATTAGTATAAGTTAATATTCTTTTTAAGTACATGTACTGAAGAATTAAATTGGAGTTCAATATAATCTTATTTTAAAATATAATAATATTAAGATATCAAACAAATCGTTCTACCCATTTCAACAAATATTGCTCCAGTAAATTAAACTAATTAGTTCTAATTTTTTCAGTCATATATTTGTTTAAGATGTAATTTTCTTAAATAACAATCATGACTCCGTACTTCAAACACACATAGTGCAGATAACTACATGGCAATAACGTCAGGGAAGACGGGAAGTTCTCTACTAAATCCTTTTCAGTGAAACGTTACTCGAGTTGCTTCCCTTGACATTTCACTTTGTGGTGCAATGACGTCGGCAGAAGATTTGAAGAACTTAAGAATTAATTTTCAGGCATATTCCTGTATACACAATATCATATCTATAGTGTATACAACTTTTGAAAATTATATATGATAGTGTATACGGAGGTATGCTTGAAATTTTCAAAAGTAAGTCTTGATAATACTTTGGGGCAGGTATTTTTTCATTCATTCTATGATTATTTAGAGGACTATAGCAGTGGCGGATTCAGGCCCGGGCTTCAGGGCTGCAGCCCCCCCCCCCAGCTCGGCCCAAAGATACGTTTACCAGCTGGTCTGGAATATATTTTTGTCAGTATCAAACTTTATTGGCTGTAGTGTGCTCCCTTATCAAAACATTCATTGCTGTCATCCAAAGACATTGGCAAATAAATACATCATAATTTACTATCTTTGTTTTTCAATTTTCTTTGCGTTAGCTCTAAAATTAAGAAATTGAAAATTATGATTTGTTAATTAAAAAGTTGGCGAGTTTTATAAAGATAATATTAAAGGAATCGCATTTAAATAACTAGTTTTACTAAGATTTATATTAAGACGAAATGATTGGTCAATTACTTTTAATATTTTTTATGGCAATTATATTTTTAAATAAAATTTGAATTGTACAGTGACCTCTTAAATATCTTAAATCAGGATACATTGATGGAAATTTTTTTTATTGAATATTAGTATTTGAAATTATTTTTTTGTAAAATAGAAAAACAGTATTTTAATAACACTTTCTTTAGGAAAATCGCTATTATATATAGGATATATAATAAATATACATGTATAAAAAACTATTATTCAGACGAGTAAATTGAGTGTTTGAAATTATTTTTATCAACGGTCACGCATTCATTGGTAAGTGTGCTGTTATTTTGTAAATGCTTACTACTAAACACAAGGGGAATGCTATTTGAAAGACACTGCAAACACTAACCTATACAAAATACAATGTGATGTTAAACCATCCAAAAGGTACCAAAAACAGCACTAGAAAGTAAAGGAAATAACACCATTTTCATCTTCACATTTCAAAATTTTCTCAGTCTATGGGAGGGGACATCCCTCCCAGGCCCACCCCAATCACGTGCATTTTTCTTAAATCAGTCTTAATTACATATATCATCTACACATGTACAAGACATTAGTATACACATATATAAGAAAAGTGCATTGCCACATCAAAGACATTCATTACAATTATATATATTGTCACATAAACAAGATGCTGGCCCAATCTTCAAACATGCACAATTCTCATCTGTTGCATTGTTTTTCTTCTGTTTTTGTCAAAATCTTCCACACATGTCAGCCCCCCCCCCAGGAAACCCTGTTCTATATCCGCCCCTGCTATAGTGCCAGTGTCCTGTACTTTCACAGGGGGAGACCCTGTTGCACTACATCTATATCTACACCTAATCTGGGAACAAGATGTACATTTTTGTTATATTTTTTGTCCAAGATCTAATGTACCTCTATATTGACAACCATTTAATGCAAAATAGTTTTTGTTAAAGAAGCTTGAGGATTTTTAACGTAAATCCTTACACAATGTACAGCAAGATGGACATAATTTAAAGTTTAATATAAAAGAAAAATATTCAAATATATAATTGCTGTAAATCTGTATTGTAAAATTTTAAAACATTCCAATAAGAAAACATAACAGTAAGATAAAAAGCTAAAACAGAAATGGAACAAAACAAACATCATACCTTGGCATGAATATTATTCAATACATGTACATTCATGAAAAATAATCTACAAGATATTTAAATATCACAGGCATGTTTGTATTCTATATCACTGTTCCAGCATATATAACCATTAGGCTGTCGGCGCCGGCTAAATTAACATATGACACCAGGGTGACCAAGATTACCCGGCACATAGTGCCATATTGTTCATAGTCTGCACTGTTCACTATTCAGTCAGCACATATTGAGAATTTTCCCTAAAAATATTAAGTGAATTAATAATATTACATTTTATTCTGGTATGTACTTTTCTTTAAATTACTGAAGTATAAATACCAAATATATTCTGGTAATATCACAGTAAAACAAGCATTTGATAGTATTGCGGGCAATACAGTAGTCCCCTACCGGTCCCTCAAAAAGTTCTTTAATTGTCATACACTCCTGTGTATTGCCATTTATAATGAATTTGAGGATGAAGTCTGTATTTGAAAATATCAACCACAAAACATAATAAAATAAGTTTGTCTATATCACAGTAATGTGTTAAGTTTCCATGCTTAGTAAGGAAATTATGTTTATACAACCTTGTCATATTATTACGATGTGGGATTTTAAAGTAAATCCTATAAGGAATGAAGAAGTTGGAGTGAAAATACCAGTTTCTCGAAAAAAATCTAAGTTCAAGGGGGACATAATTCTGGAAATAGTCTTGCTAGAGTATTTAACCTTCTCAAAAATGTCGAGTGATAATAAGAAACATATATATGAAGTTTGAAGTAGATACATTAGGAAATAAAGAAGTTATTTAAAAAAGACAACATTTTTCCCCTAAAAAATCTAAGTTCAAGGGAGGTAATACTGATATTTTTTGTGCTAGAGTTATAAACCTTGTCACATATGATGTGGTTGATGACCAGAAACTTATATTTAAAGTTTGAAGTAAACACCTTAAGAAATAAAGAACATATAGTGAAAAATCTGAAAAATTTAAATCAGAAATCTTGAAATTCAGGCTATTTGTTGCCATAGCAACCAGAATTTTCAACATAAGAAGAAAAGAAAAAGATGTGCATAACCTCCAGACTGCCATCTACCCATATTTCAAGTTTCATAAAAATATTTTCAGTACTTTTTGAGTTATCACTGGATCCAGTTTATGTGTTAAATTTGCCATATTTTCAGACTATTTGTTGCCATAGCAACCAGAATTTTCAACATAGGAAGAAAAAAAAAAAGACGTGCATAATCTCCATACTGCCATCTATCCATATATCAAGTTTCATAAAAATATTTTCAGTACTTTTTGCGTTATCGCGGGATCCAGTTTTGTGGACGGACAGACTGACGGACTGACAGACTGACAGACAGACGGACAGACAGAGAGACAGACGGACGGAGGGTAAACCTAAAGTCCCCTCCGGTTAAACCGGTAGGGGACTAATAATCAACATTTAACTTCACTGAAGTCAAATTAAATTCAAATGTGGTAGAAAAGCTTTTGATATTTAGCAAATTATCATGGAAATTTCAGCAGATATTAACTACACTGTGACTTTATATTAATCTACATGATTACTGCAAGAACATTTATATTTGCACACTTAGTATTGAAATGAACCAATAAAGTCTACAACTCTTAAAGAATAAGATATCAACAAAAGATCTGACAACATTAATAATTGATAGCATTACTAATTGTTAACATTACTAATTGATAACATTACTAATTGATAACATTAATGAGTTGGTATCATTAATAGCTGATAAGATTAACAAGGAAAGCACATAACATTGTGCAGCCAAAATCAGTAAAACTAGAACTGCCACTATCTTGGCGTGAATACCCCCGCATACCACTTTGTCAGAATCAACAGTGGCTATTTAGAGCTCAAGGACAACCTCCCTACCAAATCTGAGGTTACTAAGCCAGTGCATTGCTAAGTTATGTATTCTACAAGCTTCAAATGTGAAAATGTCAAAATCAATACATTGCGGACAGGACATTCTTTAGCAATTGAGAAGAAAAGCTTTTTTTTGTCAAGGTCCCTGTGACCTTGACCTTTGACCCAGTGACCTCAAAGTCAATAGGGGTCACCTTATAGTCATGATCAACATCCATGCCAAATATGAAGACTGTGGGTCAAAGGAATCTTAAGTAAATGGGTGGACAAACTTTTTGAAGTCAAAGTCCCTATGACCTTGACCTTTGATCCAGTGACCTCAAAATCACAAGGGGTCATCTACTTATCATGATCAACATCCATGCCAAATATGAAGACTGTGGGTCAAAGGAATCTAAAGTTATTGGGCAGACAAACTTTTTGAAGTCAAAGTCCCTGTGACATTGACCTTTGACCTGGTGACCTCAAAATCAATAGGGGTCATCTACTAATCATGACTAACCTCCATGCCAAACATGAAGACTGTGGGTCAAAGGAATCTTAAGTTATAGGGCGGACAAGCTTTTTGAAGTCAAGGCCCCTGTGACCTTGACCTGGTGACCTCAAATTCAATAGGGGTCATCTACTAATCATGACTAACCTCCATGCCAAATATGAAGACTGTGGGTCAAAGGAATCTTAAGTTATTTGGCGGACAAGCTTTTTGAAGTCAAGGCCCCTGTGACCTTTGACCTGGTGACCTCAAAGTTAATAGGGGTCATCTACTAATCATGACTAACCTCAATGCCAAATATGAAGACTATGGGTCAAAGGAATCTTAAGTTATTGGGCGGACAAGCTTTTTGAAGTCAAGGCCCCTGTGACCTTGACCTTTGACCTGATGACCTCAAAATTAATAGGGGTCATCTACTAATCATGACTAACCTCCATGCCAAATATGAAGACTATGGGTCAAAGGAATCTTAAGTTATTGGGCGGACAAGCTTTTTGAAGTCAAGGCCCCTGTGACCTTGACCTTTGACCTGATGACCTAAAAATCAATAGGGGTCATCTACTAATCATGGCTAACCTCCATGCCAAATATGAAGACCATGGGTCATAGGAATCTTAAGTTATTGGGCGGACAAGCTTTTTGAAGTTAAGGCCCCTGTGACCTTGACCTTTGACCTGGTGACCTCAAAATCAATAGGGGTCATCTACTAATCATGACTAACCTCCATGCCAAATATGACGACTGTAGGTCAAAGGAATCTTAAGTTATTGGGCGGACAAGCTTTTTGAAGTCAAGGCCCCTGTGACCTTGACCTTTAACCTGGTGACCTCAAAATCAATAGGGGTCATCTACTAATCATGACTAACCTCCATGCCAAATATGAAGACTGTAGGTCAAAGGAATGTTAAGTTATTGGGCGGACAAGCTTTTTGAAGTCAAGGCCCCTGTGACCTTGACCTTTGACCTAGTGACCTCAAAATCATTAGGGGTCATCTACTAATCATGACTAACCTCCATGCCAAATATGAAGACTAAGGGTCAAAGATATCTTAAGTTATTGGGCGGACAAGAAAAAACCGACGGACGGCCGGACGGACAAGCTGATTCCAGTATACCCCCCTTACAACTTTGTTGTGCGGGGGTATAATAAATCATAAATCACTAAAAAAGATAATATTTTTATTACATGTATAACATGTAAGATTGAACAAAATTTCACAAGTGACCACGAGCAATCACCAATTCTATTTGAAGTTAACCATTCATGGAAATATTACACATTATGTTCACTCAGTGAAATACATTTTACACGGAAACAAACAAATATCCTCTATTTTATGTAAATTCTTTTTTTTACAATATTATATGAATACATAAGACTGTTGAGTAGACCGAAGTTGCAAGCTCAATCAGCTTGTACTTTAGTCTTGTAATCTCAACATTGTGGGTTCTATTCCTTGGCCAGCCAAATAAAACTAGAACTATCACTAAATGTGATTAATACCCCCACAAGACTGCTTCTTAAATGAGGATGTTACTAGTAAAAGAATACCTTGTAAAAGAATTGAAATATAGAGTTATGGTTGTGGGCAAATAAAGATAGTTGTGGTTCTTGTACGTTGCATTTCCTTTCAATGTGGTTGGCCATTTATGAAATTTAATTGAATTACTCTGTAATAAGTCCAGAAAGATAAAAAAAAAGAACAAAGGGCAATAACTCTATAAATACTGAAGATAGAGTTATAGTTCTTGTGCACTGCACTTCCTCTTATTGTGCTTGACCATTGTATGAAGTTGTTTTGAATTCCAACCAGTATGTTTTAAGTTATGCTTCGGACAAGAAAAAGTACCAAAGGGCAGTAACTCTGTATTTTGTCAAAATGGAGTGATGGCTCTTGTGCACTGCACTTCCTCTTAATGTCCTTGACAACTGTATGAAGTTGTACTGAATTCCAAACAGTAGTTTTCAAGTTATGCTCTGGACAAGGAAAAGTAACAAAGGGCAATAACTCTGTAATTAGTCAAGATGGAGTTATGGTTCTTGTGCACTTCACTTCCTCTCAATGTGCTAGACCATTGTATAAAGTTATACTGAATTCCAACCATTAGTCTTCAAGTTATGCTCCGGACAAAAAAGCAATGGAAAAGTAACAAAGGGCAATTACTCTGTAATAAGTCAAGATGGAGTTATGATTCTTGTGCACTGCACTTCCCCTTATTGTGCTTGACCATTGTATGAAGTTGATTTGAATTCCAACCAGTAGTTTTCAAGTCATGCTCGGGACAAGGAAAAGTAACAAGGGCAGTAACTCTGTAATTAGTCAAGATGGAGTTATGTTTCTAATGCACTGCACTTCCTCTCAATGTGCTTGACCATTGTATGAAGTTATAATGAATTCCAACAATTAGTCTTCAAGTTATGGTCCGGACAAAAGAAAGCAATGGAAAAGTAACAAAGGGCAATAACTCTGTAATTAGTCAAGATGGAGTTATGGTTCTTGTGCACTGCACTTCCCCTTATTGTGCTTGACCATTGTATGAAGTTGTTTTGAATTCCAACCAGTAGTTTTCAAGTCATGCTCTGGACAAGGAAAAGAAACAAAGGGCAGTAACTCTGTAATAAGTCAAGATGGAGTTATGGTTCTTGTGCACTGCACATCCTGTCAATGTGCTAGACCATTGTATGAAGTTATAATGAATTCCAACAATTAGTCACCAAGTTATGGTCCGGACAAAAGAAAGCAATGGAAAAGTAACAAAGGGCAATAACTCTGTAATTACTTTAGATAGAGTTATGGTTCTTATGCACTGCACTTCCTCTCAATGTGCTTGACTATTGTATGTAGTTATATTGAATTCCAACCATTAGTCTTCAAGTTATGGTCCGGACAAAAAAAAGCAATGGAAAAGCAACAAAGGGCAATAACTCTGTAATTACTTTAGATAGAGTTATGGTTCTTGTGCACTGCACTTCCCCTTATTGTGTTTGACAATTGCATGAAGTAAAATGCTACAGACAAAAAAAAAGCAATGGAAAAGCAACAAAGGGCAATAACTCTGTAATTACTTTTGATAGAGTTATGGTTCTTGTGCACTGCACTTCTCCTTATTGTGTTTGACAATTGTATGAATTTGTTTTGAATTCCAACCAGTAGTTTTCAAGTTATGCCCCGGACAAGGAAAAGTAACAAAGGGCAATAACTCTGTAATTAGTCAAGATAGAGTTATGGTTCTTGTGCACTGCACTTCCTCTCAATGTGCTTGACCATTGTATGTAGTTATATTGAATTCCAACCATTAGTCTTCAAGTTATGCTCCGGACAACGAAAATGCAACGGACGTCTGGACCGACCGACCACCGGGTGACTCCTATATACCCCCCCCCCCAAACTTCATTTTTGGGGGTATAATTACTAAAACAGTCTTTCAATTGACACTTTTAAATCAAGGTCCTGTGTATGAGAGCTTAAATACTTGGCATACTAAAGAACTAGGAGAAACTTCTGGAATTCAGGCATCTTGCATTATCCTCCAAAATCTATAATGACTAGTACTCTTCTGGAGGATTTGCCCATTTGGGCAACCAGTGGCAAGCATAAATAAACTCAAACCTACACATACACACAGATATAAGTTGATATATGTCACAATATCTTACATAACATGTATACAGAATGCTGTATACAATGTGCATATATCTAACTTAATGAATGACATCAATATTGTTCCAAAGTTATCCATCTATTTAGTATATTTCACACTTGCAGATATTTCAGTAACAATCTTTATCCTATGACAAATTGAGTTTCAACAAAACTTGTAAAATTGGGGTTATACTAACAGAAAGACAATAGCAACATAACTGACAAAGGAAGTCCTTAAATCCTACTCTATGTATCATTCAAGGCATTGCTACTAAAGTAGATGGTGAACACTCAATCTTTCATAAGCTAGGTGGAGGTTTCTCACTAGTCAAAATGAAATTGGAGTCTCGAGCCACACATCAGAGTAGCACACTAATATTATACTACCTATCCCTATACGTTATAAAAGTTAAACATCTCTTTCATAATTCACTTTATCCCAACTAACTACTGCTTGGAAAACTTCAATTCAATGTGACGTTATTGCATAGAATTAAACACAAACTATATTATCACAAAAACTGTTATTCATATGAGGCCTATTTAAAGTTGGAATTCAACTCCACAGGTTATCTATCAATTCACTAATTTTTGTGGCCAATTCTCTCCTAGCATGAGCTTTACGAGCTGACAATGCTGTCCTAATTTTGTGTTTCGATCGCCAGATTTTTATGAGGCCGTCATCACAAACTGTAACACAAGTCTCTTGGTCGACAGGTGAGAAAACTATGCCATTGACGACAGTACTATCGTACAATGACATCACATACAGCGTGTTGTTCCCTGTATCGCTGACTGAGTGAAACAACCTGCCTATAGGAACACCATAATGTCTGTCCCACAGGTACCCTCTCAAATCTTCACTTCCACTGTAATAATAAACACAATACAAGGAATTACTCTCATTTTTTCCAAATATCAAAAACATCTTTTTAAGTCCAAAAGCTTACAAGTCACTAGATAGGTCAGTAAATCAACAGATCTAAGAATCAGCAATTTGGTATTCCTAGTACAGTGAATTATGTGTTTAATCTACATTAACTTTGCATTGATAAACAATATGTAAAAGCCATACATTTTTCAAAACTGTTGAAAACGATTCAAATGAAGAAGTTTCATGTTAATTTACCAGAAAAATAACAAGAGCTGTCAGTAGGACAGCAACGCTCGACTATTCTTAGTGCTTGATAGTAAAAAAAGCCTTGATTAAAAGGTAAAATTTTCTAAGTAAAGAAAAAGGCAATTTTTTTCTTTAAATCCATATTACAGTTATAGGCCTTGGAGAGGGTCCTATTATGCTCTCAAAGAAGAGTATAAAATTTCAACATGTTTCAAAGCCTTATGTCAATGAACTTTGAAAATATTTGAGGTATAACAAAAAATTTAACGTAAATTCAAAGTAAAAAAAAAAGGGGCATAATTCTGTCAAAATGCTTGATACAGTTACCTCCTCCTGTCTACAAGTTGGGGTCATGATGGTGAACAAGTGTGCAAAGTTTCAAAGCCATATGTCAATGGACTTTGAAAATATTTGAGGTATTACAAAAACTTTAATGTAAATTCAAAGTAAAAAAAAAGGGGCATAATTCTGTCAAAATGCTTGATACAGTTACCTCCTCCTGTCTACAAGTTGGGGTCATGATGGTGAACAAGTGTGCAAAGTTTCAAAGCCATATGTCAATGGACTTTGAAAATATTTGAGGTATTACAAAAACTTTAACATAAATTCTAAGTCGAAAAAGGGGCATAATTCTGTCAAAATGCTTGATACAGTTACCTCCTCCTGTCTACATGTTGGGGTCATGATGGTGAACAAGTGTGAAAAGTTTCAAAGCCATATGTCAATGAACTTTGAAAATACTTGAGGTATTACAAAAACTTTAACGTAAATTCTAAGTCAAAAAAGGGACATAATTCTGTCAAAATGCTTGATACAGTTACCTCCTCCTGTCTACATGTTGGGGTCATGATGGTGAACAAGTGTGCAAAGTTTCAAAGCCATATGTCAATGGACTTTGAAAATATTTGAGGTATTACAAAAACTTTAACATAAGTGGTTACGCCGACGCCAAACTCGGGTGACTACAATAGCTCTACTTATTCTTATTGAATAGTCAAGCTAAAAATTAGAGCAGAACTGAAAGCAAGAGTATCATAAAGGCTCTAGATTATTTACTTCTGCTATACAAGGTCATAATTTCTGTCATGTAGAAGTAGGTCACCTATTTATATTCAAGGTCACACAAGGTCAAAGCTCAATACAATACAAGAGCTGTCACAGGAGACAGCGAAGCTCGACTAATAAAATACTGGACGCAGTAAGGAGGACAAAACTATGAAAGAAAAATCAATTATGTATAATTATGTATTAAGTTATAGTAAAAAAACATTTGTTAACATAAATATCAAGATCAAGGGGAATAATTCTAGAAATAGTCACACTAGAGTTATGAACCTTGTCACACAACATGTGTGTAATGATAAGAAATATATATTTGAAGTTTGAAGTAGATACCTTAAAAAGTAAAGAAGTTATAATATTTCTTAAAGAAAATCCTAAGTTCAAAGAGAGATAAATCTGTAAATATTGCTTCAAGAGTTATTGAACATTGTCACATAAAATGTATTGATGATAAGGAATAAGTATTTGAAGTTTGAGTTAGATACCTTAAAGTTATAGTAAAAAAAAATTTTTAAGGAAAATTCTAAGTTCAAGGGGAGATAAATCTCAAAATATTGGTGCTAGAGTTATGAACCTTGTCACATAAGATGGGGATGATGATAAGGTACCTATATTTGAAGTATGAGGTTGATCCCTTAACAAATAAAGAAGTAACAGTAAAAAATAGTATTTTTTGAGGAAAATTCTAAGTTCAAGGGGAGATAAATCTGAAAATATTGGTGCTAGAGTTATGAACCTTGTCACATAAGATGGGGATGATGATAATGTACACATATTTGAAGTATGAGGTTGATCCCTTAACAAATAAAGAAGTAACAGTAAAAAATAGTAATTTTTGAGGAAAAATTTAAGTTCAAGGGGAGATAATCTGAAAATATTGGTGCTAGAGTTATGAACCTTGTCACATAAGATGTGGTTGATGATAAGGAACATATATTTGAAGTTTGATGTTGATACCTTAAGAAATGAAGTTATAGTGAACTAGAAATGTGTCCATAGGACACGGATACCCCCACACGCCACTGCTCTGTCAATCTTATGACTCTAGGTCAAATATTTTTTGGACTACATGTGCCACAAGTTGAAAACTAAAAATCAACAAAATGCCATAATTCTGTTAAATTTGGTTGCAGCAAAAATTCCTTCCTTTACTACCATCTACACCTTAAGGTTATTTATCCCTGTAAGCTTAAGCAAAATCTGCCATCCGGTTTAAGAGGAGTTGCGTTCACAAAATTTCTACATAGTATATAGTGAAAAAATCAACAAAGGGCCATAATTCTGTTAAATTTGGTCGCAGCAAAAATTCCTTCCTTTACTACCATCTACACATTAAGGTTGTTCATCCCTGTAAGTTTAAGCAAAATCTGCCATCCCGTTTAAGAGGAGATGCGTTCACAAAATTTCTAAATAGTATCTAGTGAAAAAATCAACAAAGGGCCATAATTCTGTTAAATTTGGTCGCAGCAAAAATTCCTTCCATTACTACCATCTACACATTAAGGTTGTTCATCCCTGTAAGTTTAAGCAAAATCTGCCATCCGGTTTAAGAGGAGTTGCGTTCACAAGATTTCGGGACGTACGGACTGACGGACGGACGGACAAGTGCAACGCTATATGCTCCCACATTGTGGGGGCATAAAAATATTTTACTGCACCAAAACTTTAATCTGAAATCTGGACGCCGACGCCGGGGCGAGTAGGACAGCTCTCCATATACTTCGTATAGTCGAGCTAAAAATGCCAAAATTTGTTTACTTAGTATTATTTATGTTAAATATCAAACCCAATGGCCTGTATAGAATCATTTATTTAAATAGGTATGACATTAAGTAAATGTACTCAAGTTGAACATAATTGTCATAAAATTGTCTATACTGGTGATACTAGATATAGGCTCTCCAATGCTGCTTTGCAAAATCTAAAATCATTGAAGAATAATGAGGAATAATAGCAAAATGAAAATTTTGGCATCAGTAACATTAAATCATTTTCAAAACCAGTCATAGAGTCAATATAAGCCTACATTATAATCATAGGTAATTACATAAAGTCTCTGAAAAGGAAAAGAGCAAAATCTATTTCAAGCCCCTCAGAGATCTTGACCATTCATATCTAATAAAGTCACTGAGGCATATTAACATGTCTTACCTTCCTATAAAATCAGGACTAGCATCCAGACATATATACCAGGCAGGATATGCAGAGAAAGCTACATGACCTGTAAACTCATGGTCCTTGACTCTTTCCAAGGTCACAAGGTCAATGCAGCCTATTTTTAGTTCTTTGTCAAACACCTTTTCTGAGACTGGCAATTCATCTTCAGGGTTATCTACCTTGTTTTCTGGCGTATTCTTGTCCATTTCACGAAAGTTAAAGTACAAGTACCTGGAACAAAAATGATTTAACAGATAATATTTTACATATGTCATATGTAAAATATTATCAGTGCTGCCAAGTACATAATATAGACCTATGAACTGAAAGATTCTGAATCTTTCAGTTCATAGGTCTATATTATGTACTTGGCAGTACTGATGTTAATATGAACATTTATTTAAAGAAAACTTGCAATCTGAATAAATCTTACACTTCTTCAATCTTAATTTATAGCATTTAGACTGTATTAATAAAGCAATAGAACAAAATATTATTTTTTACCTTACAAATTGTTTATACTGAATCACTTAAAACTTTTTTAAGCAATATTTTATTTTACAAGAATAGCAAAATGAAACAGACTTACACTTTAACCCATTACTGCATGAGCATGTTGTAAAAATGGCTGTTTTCATTGAAAAGCCTCCTGTTACAAGTTCAAATTGCTTTGAAACTATAAAAGATGCTTCAACACTGATCAAACTTGGCACAAATGTTGACTGGACCATAGCCTTTGTATGAGCATCACGGGCATGCTCTATCTAAAAATTCCTGTTACCATAGTAATGAGGGGGCATCTAAAATGCACAAAATCACTATTTTGTGTTATTTTTTACCATCAAAACTGATTTTTTACCATTTGAGGCCTAGAGGGTGAGGGAGGGGGGTGACACGGCATGAAAAGATGTCTATATGAAGTAATGGGTTAAGAAAGAAAGATTCTATTATAGTACCGTTTGAATAATTACCTTTGATCATGAGATAGACATAAGCCTGTAATATAGCAATCCTTCAGTGTAACTGAGTGATCTATTTTATCAATGTCATCACCATGAAGATCTTCCTTTCTACCCTGATTGCAATGTTCATCCAAAAATTTGGAACACGATTCCGAAGAGATTTCATGGATACCTATTACAGTATGTTCACCTGCAGTGAATATCACATATTGTTTAACATTTTGGCACAATAATTCTGATTTGTCGGTTATATCTGTCCTACTATATTCTGGCAATACTGTGGAAACATTTTCGGAATTATGAATATCACATGTTCTATTTACATTTAAACTTAAAGCTCCTTCTACAATACCAGTTCTATTTATAGATTCCGTGGCCATGAACTCATTTTCCTGCGTCTCAGCACTGTCACATGACCTTGATGAATCACCTGACCTTGACTGATCACATGACAGTGTTGAATCTATATTTATCACAGGTACATTAGCAACAAGCATGTTCATCAAATGGTGTCTGTTTTCTTGAAAGGTAAATAATCGTATCGCTTTTCTCGTGTAAGGAATGTCTGCAAAAATACTGTATTCCAAATCTGGATTATTATGTTTATTTGAATCTGGTGTCAAATAACAATTTAAAACATCACAATCTCTAACCTACAAATAAATGAAAGACAATATAGTAGTTTTACCTAACCTGCTCAAACAAACAAAACTTTTAAAAATGTGACATTTATGTGTAAATATTTCCACTGTACTCACTTGAACAAGAGCCATGTCAACATGGCCATCCCCCGCCGAATGTGTTTGCTCATTGGAAGAATGTATATGTAGTAGAGCGGAATAATTCCATTTTAAGAGGTCTTTTGGTAATGAAAACTGATGGCTATAGTGATTACAGATTTGAAACCTATGTGAATACTGATGGCTGAAAATAACAAAGGGCAATTACTGAAAAATAATGCAGGGTAGGTTATCATTCTTGTGTGCTGCATCCCTCCTCAGTAAAATCTATCCACGTTTCAAGTTGATACCTCAAATACTTTTTGAGAAAAAAATTGAATTGAAAAATTAAGTATGAAAAAGAACAAAGGGCAATAACTCAAAAATTATAAAAGGTAGAGTTATCATTCTTGTGCAATGCACACCTCCTGAGTGAGATCTATGCACCTATGAAGTTTCATTTTGATATCTCAAAGGCTTTTTGAGTTATGCTCTGGACAAAAATTAATTTTGAAAAATAACAAAGGCAATAACTCAAAAATAATGCAGGTAGAGTTATCATTCTTAAGCACTGCACTCCTCCTCAATGAGATCCATCCACCTTTGAAGTTTCAAGTTGATACCTCAAATACTTTTTGAGATAAGCTCTGGACAAAATAGCATAAAAAAAAACAAAGGGCAATAACTCAAAAATTGTATAGGGAAGAGTTATCATTCTTGCGCACAACATTCCTCCTCAATAAGATCTATCCACCTATGACATTTCATGTTGATATCTCAAACACTTTTTGAGTTATGCTCCACTCAGGTGAAAAATTAGGTATGAAAAATAACAAAGGGCAATAACTCAAAAATTATGAAAGGTAGAGTTATCATTCTTGTGCACTGCACACCTCCTGAGTGAGATCTATGCACCTATGAAGTTTCATGTTAATATCTCATAGGCTTTTGGAGTTATGCTCTGGACAAAAACCAATTTTGAAAAATAACAAAGGGCAATAACTCAAAAATCAGGCAAGGTAGAGTTATCATTCTTGTGCACTGCACTCCTCCTCAATGAGGTCTATCCACCTATAAAGTTTCAAGTTGATAACTCAAATACTTTTAGAGATATGCTCTGGACAAAAATGTCGGACGGAAGGACGGACGGACGGAAGGTCGGACGGACGGAGACTATTTCTATATCCTCCACCGAAATCTTTCGGCGGGGGATAATAAGCAATAAATAGTCTTGAGTTTAATGGGCTAGCTATCTGTTGGGGTGGTTGAACTGTGCTCTGGTAAATTCAATGTGGCTTACTGTCGTGATCCGGAGTAAAAACTACCTTTAAGTTTCTTTCATCTAGAGCTGTCATTGATTCAGTGCAAAGCATATTGATGATACATCCATATCAGATGACAAATATCAGCGATCCACCAATATACCAATAAATGTTCCTAATTTCTTGTGTATAATTCACTTTCATACCTGTTTAAATGATCTTAGTGATACATGTTCTGTTCATACAATTATGTTCTGTCTTGTGTTTATACATGTCCTTTGCATGATTTTTTTTCCGACCATGAAAGAATCCAAAGATTCGAACCCACAGCGTTGAGGGATGTTTACATCTAAATATGTCTTTTATCAGCCTGATAATCATATACAGTTTTCGCTGTTTTAAGATGAAAGGGAATCTGGCACAATATTGTGAACTTAACATAAATTTGCTCTTTAAAATGACTGTGTCTTTTTCTTCAGGTTTTCCATTCTATGTAATAACAAGACTGGCACAAATTCTTACTGAATATATAAGTGTAAAAAATAAGTAAGAATGCATTAATATGTAAACAAAACATTTTTAAAATAGTTCAACAACTTATCTGGAAGGTACGTACATGTCTTGAAAAGACTGAGACGTAAAATGTTACAAATAATGTCACTTCAATAATAATTCAATGCAATAGCCAGTCTATGAAATGTCCATTAGATAAGCGAACTCCCGGCATCTATAACTTCCCCTTTTCAGTGCAGTAGCAAAATGTGGGGAATTGACCCATTATAGTTTTGTAAAAGTAGGCTAGTTTGAACTATTTGAAATATGTATGCTGACATGAATGTGCTAAGGCCTCCAACGTGTTGCTTTGGAGAAAACAAATAGAGAAGACTGCACTAACTCGCAAAAATGGTTACTTTGATATAGCTATAAATCTCCAGCCAAAACAATCACTTCATACATTCATTGATAAAATGGGGACTTGAAAAGTTTGCCTTTTAGTGACAGCTTTCTACATTAGAGATCTTACTTTAATTCTTGAGTCAATTTACCTTATATGCTTGAATATCGTTTTTGTCTGATTGTTCTTGAGGTAAACTGGTAAGAAATACACTCTCATTGAGCCAGGCACCAAATAAAGTGGCCATCTCAGCAACACATACAATATTTAAATCTGTATGAAAATATAAAACAAGAGGGCCATGATGGCCCTGAGGTCTCTCACCTGTATAAAGGCACCCGGAGCGGGGCCAGTTTTAACCCCAGGGTTTTTATTTGAACAAACTAGGAAGACAACCATTAGAAGATGTTTCACGATGTTAAGTTTTTACTACACACATATAATGAAAAACAAAGATCTACCTCTTTTATTTGAACAAACTTGGTAGACACCCATAAGAAGATGTTTCATGCTAAACATCTAAGCTCTAGCTCATTGGGTTTTTTTAAAAGAAGATTTTTTAAGTTTTTACTATACTTATATAGTTAAAACCAATGACACCCCTGGGGCAGGGCCAATTTTGACCCAAGGGCTTTTATTTGAACAAACTTTGTAGACACTCACTAGAAGATGTTTCATGCTTAATATCAAAACTCTAGCTATTTGGGTTTGATCAAAGAAGATTTTTTAAGTTTTTGCTATACACATAAGGAAAATCAATGACCCCCTAGGGCGGGGCCAATTTTGACCCCAGGGCTTTTATTTGAACAAACTTGGAAGACACTCATTAGAAGATGTTTCATGCTAAATATCTTAGCTCTAGCTCTTTGGGTTGTTTAAAAGAAGATATTTTAAGTTTTTACTATATGCATATAGGGAAAATCAAAGACCCCCTGGGGCAGGGCCAATTTTGACCCAAGGGCTTTTATTTGAACAAACTTGGAAGACACTCATTAGAAGATGTTTCATGCCAAATATCTAAGCTCTAGCTCTTACGGTTTTTTAAAAGAAGATATTTTAAGTTTTTTCTTTCGGTTGCCATGGCAACCAGAGTTCTGTATGGAATTAAATTCTTTGAACAATTTTTAAAGGTGACCACCAAAGGAACATTCCTGTGAAGTTTGGATGAAATTGGCTTTGTGGTTTATGAGGAGATGTCATTTAAAGTAAAAGTTGACGGACGCCGGACGAAAAGCGATCACAAAAGCTCACCCTGTCTTTTTGTGACTGGTGAGCTAAAAAGGACTTCTAATTCCAATATGCGAACTTAAATTAAATACCAACATTATCAGAACACATTCAAATCAGTAGTTGAAATATACATATATGAATATGCACCTGATGTTCCAGAACTTTGCTGTCTCAATATACTGCAAAGTTAAATTTACGATTAAGTAACAAGCCCAACAAAGTACATGTATAAATTAAGTAAATCACTGTCAACACTTTATTCTTTCAACGTAAAATTCTAGGAAGTAACTGGTACACTTTCCCCTGTCATAATAACCTCAAACATACATGTACATTTTATCGTAACAGCTCAAGTGTACAAAGGTACAATATCAAGGTCATGGAATATAAATGAAATCACTGTACCATGTCTTGCAAGCCTATACAATTTAATGTGTACCCTGTCTTATGAGCCTATACAATTTAATGTGTACCCTGTCTTATGAGCCTATACAATTCAATGTGTGCCCGGTCTTGCAAGCCTATACAATTCAATGTGTACCCTGTCTTGCGAGCCAAAACAATGCAATGTGTACCCTGTCTTGTGAGCCTATACAATTTAATGTGTACGCTGTCTTGCGAGCCTTAACAATGCAATGTGTCCCCTGTCTTGCGAGCCTATACAATTCAATGTGTACCCTGTCTTGTGAGCCTAAACGAGTTAATGTGTGCCCTGTTTTGCGATCCTATACATTTTAATGTGTACCCTGTCTTGTGAGCCTATACAATTCAATGTGTACCCTGTCTTGTGAGCCTATACAATTCAATGTGTACCCTGTCTTGTGAGCCTATATAATTTAATGTGTACCCTGTCTTGTGAGCCTATACAATTTAATGTGTACCCTGTCTTGTGAGCCTATACAATTCAATGTGTATCCTGTCTTGCGAGCCTATACAATTCAATGTGTATCCTATCTTGTGAGCCTATACAATTCAATGTGTACCCTGTCTTGTGAGCCTATATAATTTAATGTGTACCCTGTCTTGCGGCCCTATACAATTCAATGTATATCCTATCTTGCGAGCCTATACAATTCAATGTGTACCCTGTCTTCCAAGCCTATACAATTCAGAGTGCACCCTTTCTTGGGAGCCTATACAATTCAATGTGAACCCTGTCTTGCAATAACAGGAAGTTTATACTAGTTTTTATAATTTGACGGTGCAGGAAGTCAAACTTACAAGCAATTTTACCTATCTGACTTACCCTCAAATAATGCATTATTTCTGAAATAACACACACAAATAATATGAAGCTATTGACTTTGTATGCTGTCAAAGATAAATTTACCAGGTGTTATGCAAAAGTACTGACCTTTACATTGCATTTTTAACTTTATATCAGTATGATATAAGTATAACAGATTTTTCAGACATGTAATTAACTTGTAAACATTACCCAAATTACATTGTGTATTATAGATATATACCTGGTACTGTTAATACTGCCACTACTCCATATCCCCATCTTGCCCAATGGACCCAATCATCTTGAGGTGCATCAAAACGTTGCACTCCACATACTAGTATAAGAGCATCATCAGGGGAGAACGCTGAGTACTGTGACAACTCCCATTTCAATAATAAATTTGTATCAATGGACTTAACTAACTCTGTTTCTTTGCCAAGTTTCCACATCTAAAACATAATGTACAGTATACTGCCTACATTTTCTAATCCACCAACAAATAAAAATCATAAATAACTATATTCCAGTGGTAAAGTTTTCTAAATGGCAAGGCATACACACTTGGGTTAGGAAGATCCAAACACCTTAAAATCCAAATAAATTGTTGGTCAATATTATTTGATTTATTATATTATAGACATTAAAAGACCATTTTTAAAATATTTTTAAAAAACAGTGTAGATTAAGGTAATAAGATTTTTGATTAGCATGGGATTAACATACATACATACAATTAATTTAAATTTTAAGGCATTTGGAGCACCCAGGTTCGATTCACGGAGGGTGCAGGTCACTTTCGTTGTGATTGATTACGAAATCCTTTCTACAGTCATTCGCACTGTACCTCTGCTCTGGCATGAACAGAAGTAATCAGTTTCTTCCGCAAGTGAAGGCAACTAGTACTATTAAACTGCTTGACAGCCTGTCCAGGAATGATGCTGTGATTAACCTGTGCTCTGGTAAATTCAATGTGGCTTACGACCCGATTCCAGAGTGAAAACTACTGACACCATGTGAACAATTCTAGACTGTGACACAAATACAAAATGATTTTTACACTGAAAACTAAGTTAATTTAACTCTTTTTACTCTTTTAAAAAATATGATGCGTCTCTCCTTGATTTAATACATTTAATACACTTAGCTAATCTTACTATGATAAGAGCTTCTTTGGAGCAAGTACAGAAGTACTCTCCATTGTGAGATATAGACACATCAAGAACTTCATCGGTGTGTTTTTCTAATGTCTCGCAGCATTCAGTAGGTACATGGTCAGTCAGTCGCCTCACTTCTTCGTACCAGGATGATTTCCCAGGTGCCAACCCACCTGTAATAAATTACATGTATAATAGTAAGAACATCGCCAGTAAAATATAATGTAACATAAACAAAAAAAATCCTGATCCTGACACGGGTCATATACTGTACGTAACTGTTTAACCAAAACAAAACCATTCAAAGTCTTAATAGAATTTATAATAGGAGTGCCAGAACAACAGTGTAACATAATCAAGGGAGACAATTATGATATTTGGGTTTAACTAAGATATAACCTACCATGAGTGCAAACATTTGAAAATTATGAGTACAGACTTGAGCTAAACTGCCTAGGGTTTTTATATCAAGGTAGGAGAAAATGTCTGACAAACAATAAACTATGAGGTTAGTCCATTTCACAATTTTTTTCCCGATGTCTCTATCTAAAATGGTGACAAATAGCCTGCCGTCAGCAGTTAATTAGTTTAAACACAATGAAAACAACATGTTATTAATACATTTATAATATATAGATACAGAAGTGAAAAAGGACTTAACCAAAAGCTATAAAGCTTATAAATTTATGTCTTCTCCTATATAATTGTACAGTCAGTAATTGAATTTACCCATTTGACCATTCAGACAAAGATCAGCCAGCACAAACACGCTGTTTACTGAGAGTTATTTAGTTTGTAAATAGTTGTTTTGAATTTTCCCCTGAAAATGATGAATTTGTTTACTAGACAAATCCATTAAAGATTTTCCTTTAGGTTGGGTTTTGAGTTGCAACACATAGGTCATATGGTAACTTTCTAGCTTTACTGGATGAGGAAGACCTCAGGTGCCCTTTCTTGCATTTTTTTAGGCATGAACAGGCATTTGAATAGAACCACTGACATTCCGTTAGCTTGCTGGATAGCTTACTCACATAAAAGTCCCTTAAGTGGGATTTGAACGCACAGCAATGAAGGGCAAGTGGTTTGAAGTCCATGACATTAACCATTCAGCCATTTAGCTTGGAATTTGGTAAGGGTTAAATAATATCAACATTAATATGTCTCCCTACCTGTTACTTTCCATACTCTCTTGATAATATTATGCCATAGAAATTCATCATAGGCTACCCTCCTCCATGTCGTACAGACTTGAGCTGAACGGCCTAAGGTTTTGATATCAAGGTAGGAGAAAATGTCCAACAATAAACTATCAGGTATAATATTCTGCCATGGCGATTCCATTTCACAATGTTTTTCCCTCTGTCACTTTATCATGGACTGGCAGGAATTATTTTATACCAACTGCATCTATTTAGTTTCTGCTCTTTCTGAAAAAAAAACGTTAACAATCATTGCCCGGAGGCGCGTTACATGAGTTGTGTTTGATTTTTTATGTAGACAATTTATGAGTGACGAATATCAACGGGAATGTAATCTCTAATATTGGCAATTGGGATCAAGGTTGAAATATCAAGATTTTTTAAATTCCCACTGTGATATCACATTCATGATATTAAAATACATCACAGTAGTCCAACTAATTAGAATTGTCAAAGAGACACCGAGATAATTTTGGACGGGCGCTGTCTTTTTCCAAGTCCAACCACGAACTGCATTTTTATGCACGGACGCTTCCCAATTAGAAGTTGTTGGGAGCGAAAACTAGAAAAGTTTCAAAGAAACGGTCTACATTACCTGAAAGAGAATCGTTTTTTATGCAAGGTTCCAAATTATCATACTTCAAAGTCGAACAGAAGTCTAAATATTCCACTTTAATTTTTTTAATCGTTGAAAATTATTGAAAGCGGCCATATTGGAAAACGGTGTCATGATAAAATTGTAAACACTGGTAAAATCCATGGTGTAACACAGGTATCGGCGGCAATCGATTGTATTTGCCAAGCTTTATTATACAATTTGTTTATGTTATTTATATGAATTATTGCAGGAATAACTCTTTTATTCACACACAAATATTTCAGCATTAAAAAGAGAATGTGTAAAGGAAATTATAATAACCTTACTTAGAAATTAAATAGTTTATGATGTCCGATGTCAGATCATACTGCATTTAAGTCCGTTTAAATTGTCAAATTAGATATTATTAAGTTGGATTTTTTAACATCTGTGATCATTAGGTGAAATTTCTGAACTAACTTTTTGTTTTATAACCCTGCCATGATTTCCCACATACGAAAATACAATGTAATTGTAGGTACATCTTAATGAATTATAATTATACTATACATGATGAAGCAAAGAAGAATTTCAATTTATATTACACTCCATATCAATTTCTAGTTTATTATCTTTAAAAGAAATTGAGGACGGTTGTGTATGGGAAGAAGTTCAAAACAACCAAAAATAACTTTAAAACTCTGAAAACTAGAAATGTGTCATCATGCCACGGATGCCCCCGCATGCAGCCAAAATTTCAAATGTTATAATATTTAGTTCCAAATTTGTTTGCACAAATTATTTTTTTCATTCTAAGTTCAAAGCCCTTAAAACTTTTCAATGTTAACACAAACCATTTTTATACAATGTTCAAGGCACTGAAATTATTCAGTCTTAACCTTTTAAAAACAGCATATTGCATATTTGTAGCCAACATAATGGCTATATACATTTCCACAAAAGTATGAGTGCTGAAACTGAAAGTTCAACATTCAGGAAAGATAAGTTTGTCTAAAATCATTGAACCACGACCAAATTCAAACTTAAACTGCTTATTCCTAAGATGTATCTATATTATTTTCAAAGTGAAAGGGACATAACTCTGCCAAAAAATCATCGAACCATGACCAAATTCCAACTTGACCTGCGCATTCCTTTGACATATCCATATGTCAATTTTGAGTTGAATATGTAACACTGTTGGGTTGATAATGAACAGAAACTGTAAATTTCATATCATTTTCAAAGTGAAAGGGGCATTACTCTGCCAAAAATCATTGAACCATGACCAGATTCGAACTTGGTCTGCGCATTCCAAAAACATATCCATATGTCAAATTCGAGTTGAATGTGTAATATTGTTGGGGAGATAATAAAACGGAAACTGAAAATTTCATATTATTTTTAAAGTGAAAGGGGCATAACTCTGCCAAAAATCATCGAACCATGACCAAATTTGAAATTGACCTGCGCATTCCTTTGACGTATCAATATGTCAAATTTGAGTTGAATGTTTAATACTGTTGGGGAGATAATAAACAGAAACTGAAAATTACATATTATTTTCAAAGTAAAAGGGGCATAACTCTGCCAAAAATCATCGAACCATGACCAAATTTGAACTTGACCTGCGCATTCCTTTGACGTATCGATATGTCAAGTTTGAGCTAAATGTGTTGTACGATTGGGGAGATAATGAACGGAAACTGAAAATTTCATATTATTTTCAAAGTAAAAGGGGCATAACTCTGCCAAAAATCATCGAACCATGACCAAATTTGAACTTGACCTGTATTTTCTCATGACATATCAATATGTCAATTTTGAATTGAATGTTTTGAACCGTTTGGGAGATAATGAACGGAAACTGAAAATTTCATATTATTTTCAATGTAAAAGGGGCATAACTCTGCCAAAAATCATCGAACCATGACCAATTTCGAACTTGACCTGTATTTTCTCATGACATATCCATATGTCAATTTTGAATTGAATGTTTTGAACCGTTTGGGAGATAATGAACGGAAACTGAAAATTTCATATTATTTTCAATGTAAAAGGGGCATAACTCTGCCAAAAATCATCGAACCATGACCAAATTTGAACTTGACCTGCGCATTCCTTTGACGTATCGATATGTCAAGTTTGAGCTAAATGTGTTGTACGATTGGGGAGATAATGAACGGAAACTGAAAATTTCATATTATTTTCAAAGTAAAAGGGGCATAACTCTGCCAAAAATCATCGAACCATGACCAAATTTGAACTTGACCTGTATTTTCTCATGACATATCAATATGTCAATTTTGAATTGAATGTTTTGAACCGTTTGGGAGATAATGAACGGAAACTGAAAATTTCATATTATTTTCAATGTAAAAGGGGCATAACTCTGCCAAAAATCATCGAACCATGACCAATTTCGAACTTGACCTGTATTTTCTCATGACATATCCATATGTCAATTTTGAATTGAATGTTTTGAACCGTTTGGGAGATAATGAACGGAAACTGAAAATTTCATATTATTTTCAATGTAAAAGGGGCATAACTCTGCCAAAAATCATCGAACCATGACCAATTTCGAACTTGACCTGTATTTTCTCATGACATATCCATATGTCAATTTTGAATTGAATGTTTTGAACCGTTTCGGAGATAATGAACGGAAACTGAAATTTTCATATTATTTTCAATGTAAAAGGGGCATAACTCTGCCAAAAATCATCGAACCATGACCAATTTCGAACTTGACCTGTATTTTCTCATGACATATCCATATGTCAAATTTGAGTTCAATATGTGCAAGGGTTATTAAGATAATGAACGGAAACTGATGATGACGGAAGGACGGAATGACGGAACAGGGTAACACTATATGCCCCTGCCATTATATGGCGGGGGCATAAAAATCTTAAAATTTCAAACTATAAAATGGAATTTCAGACAGTCCTCAGTAAAATATAATTGTCGCACAGATTTGACGGGGTTTATGATAAAAACACAGCAAGCGGAAATTTAGTGACCGTTATTTAGATGTTGAATAGCATAACAATGTAAGACAGATGGGAGAAATGTTGGAACGACTGTCGCAAAAGGCACCAAAACCTCTGATACCCATTAAAAATTCCATGTTATCTAGTTCCCGTTGAACGGCACCTAGAATGTGTCACATTGAAAGTTCCATGATTACCGCCGTATTATGTACACATCTGTGGATGTTGATTAAAAATTTCAACATTATTATGTTTAAGTGATCAATTCTGTCTAAACCGGCGAAAGGGAGCACTTGAACCTACCAGAGCCGTCTTTGGCACTCCTGTGTATTTATGTTTCGATTTTGCAGTTTCAGGCGTTTTTGGTGGTTTTTTTTGGAGGGTGGATACATGAATGTGGATAAGTTTTTTTCTGTTTCTTTACATTTCTTTGCTTGTTTGCCGAACCTTGTATTGATAATCATTATCTGTTTGTTACGGTTCGGTATACATGTATACAATATGATAAACAAGATGAACAAGGAAAGGCGGCGTTCAATGAACGCAAACCCCACACGACCCAGGAACATGAACCATTGGCAAGGAGCCCAGGAGGATCCTAAATTAAAACGGGAAAGGGCGCAAAGGAGAGCACGGTCAGGCTTATCACTAAAATGTAACTGAGAAGGAAATCAAAGAAAATAAATAAATGAATGATTAATAGGACCACAAAGTTAACGAGCACAGGGGAAGGGGATAGGAAATTCGGGGAGGGGGCGAAATAAAGAAATAAAACTAGGGGCAAAGGGAAGATACTTACCAAAGAGGAAAAAACAACAAGGGACACAAACAAAAGTGTCACCAAAACAGTATGAAACAGGACCACTAAGTTAACGGGCACAGGAGAAGGGGATAGGAAATTCGGGGGAGGGGGCGAAATAAAGAAATAAAACTAGGGGCAAAGGGAAGAAACTTACCATAGACGAGAAAACAACAAGGGACACAAACAAAAGTGTCACCAAAACAGTATGAAACAACAAGACATACACCTTATACATTTATAAGTCTCTTAATCCGTTCATTTGAAAATTCTGATCTTCTCAATGACTTTTTTTTAATATCCTCTACTTAAAATTTATTTTAATTAAAATATGTGACCCTTCCTTTATAGTTACACAGCATATGGCTGGATCACAATAAAGTTCCTTTTTAGTAAATTAATAAAGTATGTCAAGAAGACATTTAACTTTATCAATAGGTTTAATATGGTATTATATATCGGCAATCGGTGAAAAAGAGCTCTTGAAATATTATTTGTACAAATACTGAATAATTTGAAGTGTATTTCAAATAGTTTCCTTCAATATTTCTTTTACGTTCTTAATTGTCATATAAATATGCATGTATAAATGAAGTCAGTATTTTATCCGAGAGTGACATTTGGCAGTCATTAGCAGTAAACAAGAAGGCAAACCACCAATTGATAATGTTGAGTACATGTATTAAAATATTTAAAAATATTAAACAACAGTACTTGTACGGAGCCTATTTGCGACCATTGCATTTTAGGTTAAATACAATGATACTTTTCAATAGTATTTAATAATGCACACGTTTATTAAAAAATAATGAATAGATTTATTTCCCCCGATATTTTGTTTAATTTAATCCTCATGCGTAACCCACACTTACCTGCTAGACACACTGGTAGCTACTACCAGCTTTCACGGAATCGATTTTTTACGATAACGTCATAACATGTCCGCCGAAGATAGAGTAGACAGTAAAAATTTGAAATAAATCGCATGTATGCGTTAAGACAGGTGCAATCTAATATTTTTTCTAGGAGAAGTTAGTTCTAAAATTTATATTCTATTGATCTTTAGAAGTAATTGAAGTTACTTTCAGGTTTAAGCAGTAAAAATCAGTCCAAACTATCGAAAGTGTTGCCGGAAGATTTTCCGTGCGTAAAAATGACAGTTAAAATTAGGCGTAACGGTTTGACAGTAAGAAAAAAAGTCTGTAAAATGGGTCAAACCGTTCACGCCAAATTAATTAGGCTAGGCCTACACCTGTAGTCCTACACTTGAAGCTGGACCAATTCACCAGTGCACTTGTGGGTCATACCGGATTACCCTAACCTCCGGCTTGAACCGCTCTTGAAAACTCTCAACAGGTCAAAATGGGCCAGCTGTCTATATGCGATTCCACATTGTCAGCCATGTTTTTTTCCACCAAGTGGGTCTATCTATCTATCTTCTGTTAATGTCAAACCCCTGGCTAGGGCGTAGACATGTAAAAGTGAAAGTAGTTTGTAACATGCTGCAAAGTGAAAGTAGGCCAAAATTTAAAAGCGGTAGTAATAGAATGCGAAATGAACTCCATTTCGCGAAATGAACTTTTCGACTACGAAATGGACATTTGTTTCTTAAATTTTGGTTTAAGTGTACTATTTAATATCTTTTTTAATAACGAACAAGTGATATATGACATAAAATTACTATTTAAACAATTTTGATAATATTTTTTCATTATTTATGCTTGTAGATTTACATTTGAAAATAATCGTATAATAATGCCACATATATAGTTAAGTGTTTTATACATGGTCTTTCAAATAGAAAGATTCTGTAATATATCATATGTTTAACCTGGGACAAAAATATTTTTTGTCGTCCCAGATTAAATTTAAGTGAATAGAAAAGATACCCTTTGTGACATGTCAGTAACACCATAATTTGTAAAGCAAATGTCCATTCCGTAAGCGAAAACTCCATTTCGTGGCCGAAATCTCCAGAGGCCTGATTATTTTCATAAATATGACTATAAAATAGGAAAATAGTACTATTAATTTGTTCAATCTGTAGTTTTATGTCAAAGGTTAAACATAAATTAATAAAAATAATATTACTCATCGCGGTTAAACAAACAAATGTCCATTTCGTAGACGGTAAGTTCATTTCGCGAAATGGAGTCCATTTCGCATTCTATTACAACCCATTTAAAAGTAAAATGATGAACAATTTGCAATTACACTTATTAATTTGATTGTCCCCTTTTAGGGGCCAATAGAGCTAAAACTAGAAATCCTTTAAACTTTTTCCAGGGCTAGACATTAACAGTTGTCCGACTGCCCTGGAAGCAACCAAGTTTGGTCCGGGCAAGTGAATTCCAAGAGAACTTGCCCCACAGGGCAAGTGAAAAAAAATCATAAGTAAACATATTTAACCAATAATCCTTGCAAATTATGATTTCAATCTTAATTAGACTTAATTAGAATGGATTAAATTTGTCTAAACAGTAAATGCCGAAGCTCACAACAGGGGCAATTGTACATGTACACAGGCTATCTGTAAAATCAAGTTGTCTGATTAATATGTCAAAACTTCATTAACATTATTATGTCAACACCTCTAATTTAATGTGTTCAAACCCTGTTGAATTTCAAATCATAACCCTGAACTTAATTTAATTTAGCTGATATGTAAAGATTGCCAACCCTTTATCTCGAAACTTACTAATGTATGGTTGTTTTCAATTTTTTACCGGTTTAGGTCTGGGCAAGCAAGCTTTAGGTCAGGGAAGTACTTGCCTGACAGGACAACCAAACAAAAATGTTTATTTCAAGGCCTGTCTTCTACTGAACTAATATATTATGGATGATTAACAAACTTTGTCTGTAGTATTCTTAGGTAGTATTTTATAAAAAGTTTCCAGTATGAAAAAGGAAATTAGAAATTAGACATGCTTTACTTGCCAGATGCACAGTAACAATGAACTAGGGCTATTTTTGAAAGGTTCCTTTTTTATTAAGAAGAAAGAAAAAAAAACAATCGGTTTTGTGAAACTATATTAATAGAGGGTCAAGTTGAAGTTGAGCTGGACTTGCCCTTTTGCAAGTTCATTTGAAAAATTATTTCAAACACAGAAAAACAGTTCTTTCTAGTGAGCGATTCAGGGCAGTCATGTCCCTGTTGTTTATACATGTAGAAAGTGGTTAAAAACAAAGAGGTGCTCCTGTGTTAATATATAGTCAATTTATATTTAATATATTTTCAATTTCAGAGGTAAAATACTACATAAGATATGACACTATGGTTTGAAATCATCATCCTGGTATTAGCATTATCTGGGACAGAATCTCTTGACAATGGTCTGGCTCTTACACCACCGATGGGCTGGATGCAGTGGGAGAGGTTCCGCTGTAATATAAATTGTACTGATGATCCAGACAACTGTATAAGGTACAGGATACCGTATTTGTTTTGGTTATTTTCAGAGCCTGATTTCAACCTTAAATGGCCTATTCTATGATTCACTAAGTTGTCATAATGCTATTTTATCAAATTCCAGTATTATTTTTTGTAAAATGACTTATCTGTCACCGTGACAGGTGTATTGTGTGGATTATCAAAATCTGAACTTTTGATATTTTTCAAGATTTTGTTTAATAATTTTAGCGTACCTTCAAAGTTGAACATGTAACACCTTTAAAAAGGCCAGTGGGCGCCCCGATTTCTGTAATTAGGTTTTGTAATAAACACTGTATTCTTTTGATATATATTATATTTGTATATTGATGAGTGCACAGGTACTTAAAACAAACTATTTTTGATGTTCTATATAGGCTATATACTATAATAAGACTACGGTAGTCTTATTATAGTATTTAGCCTAAATAGAACATTAAAAATAGTTTGTTTCAAGTACCTGTGGATAATGGTTTAAAGCAACTGGTTTCAAATCGCAAGCCCTTCACTACAAAGATCCATATATCTTGCCATATGAGGGAGCTTTCACAGATTCTAAAGAATATCAAGCAAGAATATTTTGTTGAAAATTGAACATTCCATTTACTTTAAGAGTTTGATATCTATTTTGATTAATGTTGTGTTTTAGTGAGCGACTTTTCAAGACGATGGCGGATATTATGGTTTCCGATGGTTACCGTGACGCTGGATATAAGTATGTTGCTATTGACGACTGCTGGATGACATCAGAACGAGGACCAGATGGGAAGTTGCAACCAGACCCAGTTCGTTTTCCTAATGGCATGAAACATCTAGCTGACTATGTAAGTTTCTTTAAAATATCAAACAGTTCCTAGGTACATGAACCTGATAGGTCCAACTGTTTAAAATAGTTTTCTTGACAGTTATGTATTTTATACATTTTTACAGAATTTCTTTTTGGTATACAATGTAAAGCTGCCAAGACATTTCTTATATACATTGTATCATACATCTGTTTGTTTTTAACATAACTTTAGGAAGATTAAAGTATGATATATTTGTACACATAAAACTTAATTATCACACAACCTTGATGTTCATTATATTGAATACTAGCAGTTATATGTACATTCACTGTGATGTTTACATACAAACTTTGAATAATGTTAATCAAGTGGTATTTAGTGATATTGAAAACAGTATTTGCATTGCATCGATTAATGTTTAAAACTTTAGTATTCTAATTTGTTTTTCTCTTTGTAGTGATAGCATCAAGTTTACCTGTTTAAAATTTTGTTTAAGGTATTCTAGTTTTAAATAATGGCATATATTTTGTTTGGTACTGTATCATTATAACATTTTTTAAACAACTTAACTTGTAATCTTAACTAATTATTGTATAGATCCATAGCAAAGGATTAAAGCTGGGTATATATGGAGATATGGGAACGTTGACATGTAAGAAATATCCTGGTAGCAAGTTTTACCTAGAGCTTGATGCCCAGACATTTGCATCATGGGAAGTGGATATGTTGAAACTGGATTGTTGCTATGCCGGAAGTCTTGTCGACGTCCAGACAGGTAACTAGTCTCCTTGACAACCATTAAAATATGTGTTACACTTTCTTTTGTTGATTGGTATAATTATTTTAACTTTACATGTATTTATCATTTGTTAAGACAGACAATTTAGGTAATTTTGATACCCTGGACGACAGGCCTCAGATATAAGTGTCAATATAATCAGAAATAAACATAACTAGTTTGTTAGTTAGGAGAAGAACCTAGCTTTACTGTGACACATGTTCAGTCTCTTAAGTTTGAAATTATGAAATTAGTATGGAAAAATGTTCAAAAAGTGTCTGGTTGATGGCCCCTGACCAGCAGCTTTAGCTGCTGGAAAAGCATTATATTGCAAACAACCATTTATATACAACCATATAATTGGTCAAGAATCTAACAATTTTATAACACAGCAGACTTCCTTCATTACAGAAAAAAAGAGTAATTAATGTACTTGTTAAATTGACTGTAGCATTGAATATTGTTTATATAAACATCACAATTATTCACTGAAAAGTGATATTACAAACCTGCGCTATAATAAATACATGTATATAAATAAATATATAAGACTGAAGTTAAAGGTGTGATTATGAATTTCACTTTCAAGTCATAAAAATACTGTGCCTAAAAAGTCATGTATCAGTAAGCAACCAAAAAGAAGCAACAACAATAATTTGGTATTTGTTTGATTTTATTAAATAACAAAATATATGCTACTTTTTAGATAGAACATGTTTAAAGCATAATAAATGAATTGTTCGACTTTATATGAAATCCTTTAGGCATTATAGTACATTTACATTTACTTACTTTCTTAGGTTATGAAACGATGAGTTTTTATCTGAACCGTACTGGCCGACCTATACTTTATGACTGTAGCTGGCCTCTGTGTGGTGGCCCAAAGGTATGGCATGATTTTATTCTCTAGCTTACAGATGGTTGATAGTTCTACTCTTGATCCTGCCCTTGCTTAAAACCAGTGCCCGAAACAGCACTTTTGATTAAGTGAAAAGTTACCAACTTACCCAAAAAGTGGTTGGTGTAACTCAAGAATTAACATAAGAGATAGCAATAATGTATGAACTTTCCATGTATGTATGCAGGATTTCCAGCTATGAGTCAGTATTTGAATAATACAGGAAGACCAATACTTTACGCATGTTGTTGGGCTGCTTGTGAAGGTTTATACTACAAGCATAAGGTATTACATATGATAATAACAATACCTAGACTAATTTCATCTCTCGGTCTTATAGCATGTTCATAATAATCAGATAAATTTTCATGTCTGTTTATGGTGTGGGATTAGGGGCTACTTTGATTGTTTTTTTAAGGTTGCATCGATTTAAATCACTTGATATTTCTTAATAAAGTTGACATGATATGTTAATTTAGAAGGAAAACTTTATCATTTGTTTACTTAAATCTGTTCTACTAAAAGAAGACTTCAGGTGGAGAAGCAGTCTGTAAAGGCCATCTTTTTATCTGCCTTTTAAAAATCATGGTGAAAGTCTCTTGTTTTTTTAAAGACATTCAACAAGACAAAATCTGCTGCTCCTTTAGCCACTCCTTAACACAGTGACTGTTTAGTGTTTTTTTCACTTAACTAGAAAGATGCTTTAGGCTCTTGATTTTGGGAAGAATTATTGCTAAAATTGCAAATTTGTGAAATAGAAAATCTGGTGTAAATTCAGATTTTTTGGAGAGCTGCATGATTGTAAAGAAAATTTCCTTTGAGAAGGAGGCCTTTTATAGGCCTTTATTATATAAGATGAAAAATCACTGCAGTTACCCCCCAATCACCCCCAATACATTATGTTATTTGCAAAAACAGATAAACACATTTTAAGTAATTTAGCTGCTATATTACAAATTATGTAATGATTATAAAAATTATTAGTAATAAAAAAATCTGTTTATTAATTATATCCTAATTTCTTGTGTAATTTCAGCCAGACTACAAGGCTATTGCCAAACATTGTAACATGTGGAGAAATTACAATGACCTCCAGGATGCTTGGAAATATGGTTAGTATTTACTGAATTAGCACGAAATGATTAATTAAAACTGTGAGGCCTAGTGGTTATAGCACAGTTGCTCAGGTCATTCGCATAGAACCATTTGCCATTCACAGCTAAAAATGCCAAAGATAGTCCATGTTTATTGCAAATGAGAAGTTTCTTTAAAAAATGGTAGCATTTCTGAGGCGTAATATTAAGATAAAGAATTAAATAAATACCTGTTTGGTCAATATGTTTATCAGTTATTGCATTGTACAACTTTGTTTTTTTTTCTTTTCTAGTATATGCAGCCATTGATTTCTATGGAAACAACACTGCTCATTTTCAGGAGGTGGTTGGCCCTGGTGCTTGGAATGACCCAGATGAGGTACATCTTTTCTATTGTGATCTTATAAATATCTTATCTTGTCTGAATACTTTAGCTTGACAGTGAAGCATGTTCTTGTAACTTTACTTATATAAATCTTTTTTGAGTTTGCTTTCTTGAACTTACAAGCACTAAGTCATTTGAGGACACATGTTATTGACATGGTTAGAGTTTGAAGGAAATTTCCTGAATTAAGAGGAGATTCCTAAATATGTAGGCTAAGGCAGCATATCATACCAAGTTTCTTCTTAGTGACTCAGATTTGTGCTTAAATGTCATATATATCAGGTTGATTTGTGTATATTTTAGTAACAGATCTATAAATAAATGGCATATACTTTTATGGAAGATTTAAGTTCTCAAATTTAGAGATGGGTACAATTTTGTTGATCAAGTGGAGCGGTGGCCTAGTGGTTAAGGTGTCTGCCTCTCAACCCAGAGATCATGGGTTCAAGCCTTAATGAGGTCACAAATATGTATCTTCATATGACACCAGTATTGGTTGGTTCCAGCAAGCAGACTCAAAAGTGATTAATATAAGTTGCAAGAACTTGTTTCGCAACCGAGCTTCAATAAATATGTTTTAACCAGTTTTGTTAATTCACAAAAAGATGTCAAATTTTACATCGAGTACAATACTAGAATAAAATTGTTTTCATTAAATTACAGTTGATTGTCGGTGATTTTGGTTTAAGTTACGACCAGGAGCGTGTACAGTTTGGCATGTGGTGTATGATGGCCTCGCCGTTGTTTATGTCGGTAGATTTACGTAACATTCGCCAGACTTCTAATGACCTGCTTTTAAATAAGAATCTCTTGAGAATACACAGTGATGAACTGCTTGTACAAGCTTATAGAATATCAAAGGTAAATGCATTGGATTTAAGCTCCAATTTAAATCTTATATCTAGGTAGTTAAGAAACAAGTAGCGTATCTGAATTATGTTGTTTTGATAAATGAGCCGCATCACAACAGAACCAACATAGAGCATGGATCCAGACCAGCCTGCGCATCCCCGCAGTCTGATCAGGATCCATGATGTTCGCTTACCAACTCTATAACAAGTAGAGAAACCGATAGCGAACAGCATGGATCCTGATCAGACTGCGCGAATGCTCAGGCAGGTCTGGATCCATGCTGGTCGCAAAGGTACTTTGTTGGTTTTGTCGTGACACAGCTCAAATAATGATCAGTAAGTAAATGATCAATTAGTATCTTTTAAAAATACATAAATGCTTTGAAATTATTGTGAAACATGATGACTGATATTTGATGTACAATCTTATCACAGGGTGAAAAAATATTCAGCCTGATAGCACCCTAGACTCTTGGAATACTATTCAACAGTTCTACTGTCTGAGCTTAACTTTGCAGCTCACACATTTCCTCAACTATAAATGAACAGTTTTATACTGTGATATTGTCCCCTGTAATATTGAAATTTTATCTCAAATTTCTAATGAGTACAAAATGAAAGGTGAATTGACATGGAGCTTTATACCATCACATTGCTGTGTTTGGTGCCAAATGTTGTAGGAAGAGAAAAATGTGTAGCTTGACCAGTGCTACCAACACATTTCCTCCCCTATTAGTGAACAGTTCTATACCAAGACATACCATTATCAATCACAAAACATATGCATACATGTGAACTTTTTTCAATGTTCAAGTGGAAAATTTACCTCAAAAAGAGGGATATTTTTTAATTGACAATAGACATAGAAGGAAATTTTGAAATGAAAAAGAGGGAGATTTCTTTATTTTTTTAAAACACCCCTTAATCTAAGAAAAATATTTTAAAGGAGAAAGAGGGAGTCACCAGCTTCAATTGGGAGAGTTCACATGTATGCATATGTATCACATCTAGGACTTGAACTGTTGAATTGACAAATATTTCTGTCAATGTCAGGGTACTAGTTATTTTCATAAATTTATAAGAATGGAGAGGAAAGGTGGTACTATGCATTAAAAGCAGCACATGTTTGTATAACCACAATGACAGGGACACTTAATCCATTGGAAATACTAAAATATGAAAGTTTTTGAAACAGAAGATAATATTCTAAATAATACACAATCTGATTTGAACAATTATATTTTGTAACCTTTTTATCCTGTAGGACAACCTCTTTGAAGTATGGCTCCGACCATTACGAAGTCAGTATTTCAGTGATGGAAGTTACGCTGTAGCCGTTCTCAGACATGATGACTATGGTATGCCTTTCCCATTCAATACCACACTGCAAAGTCTGGGTATGAAGAATAAAGCTGGATATAAAGTGACAGAAGCTTTCGATGGCAAAGAAATGGGAAAACTCCTACCACAAGACCAATTAAGATTTCCAGTTAATCCAACAGGAATCTTTCTCGTAACATTGACTCCTATAAGTTGATTGAAATTTTATTTAGAATAGGAATGAATTTTTATTGAAGGTCAGCTTTGGTTAGTTTGACTGATCAATTATAGCAATGAATACACTAATCAGAAATCCAAATATCTATAAATAGAAAGGAAACACATCTGTTACACTGTACATAAATAGGAGGGAAACATAACTGTTACAATGCGCATTCTTTACAGTAAACAAATTTACATTTTGATATTTCACGATTGTATCAGTTTGGCTATTTGCTTGCTTGAAATCCCATAGATGAACAGCTCAGTAGTCCAAAATCAAAACAAAAGAAATAGAGAATATTGATTGAGTGTAAGTTCATTACTGAATTTATTAAACCAGTTGAAATTAAACCAGTTGGATAAAAAACATGTACTCACTTAATAAATTCAGCAATAAATCTAAACAAATATAATATTATATTTATCACATATCCCAATAAAGACTGTTTAAAGTGCAAAAGAATCATTTTTAATTGATGCACCTTTAGTGTAATGCAACATTTAGCACATCTTTACAGAATGTTTGTATAACCTAAATGGCGTCATATCAAAATATATCACGGCCGTGCAATACCATTTTTTACGGAGTCTGAAAATCGGCAGGGGTATGTGATAAGTCCTTTAGGGAAGAGTTTATTGGCACTTGTACAGGATTAAAAAAGCACTTATAAATGGGATATTACTTACTAGGAATGCCTTATTTCCTGTACTGAATTTTTATTCTGAACTTGCCATCCTATTTGGACTGATCTATTTTTAATCTATAGGATTTGAAAGTGTATTTGTAAAATAAATACTCAGCAACATACAGTATATTGTTTTACTAGAACTCAAAGTCTTTAGCTAATGCAAATCTTGTCTAAATCATTTCTGCAATATTATTGCATAGTCAATACATGTGTTTTATTTTGTGCTTTTATATAGATTTTGTGCAATGTTCACATTTCCACAGTGCTAGTTGTCTGTACATTTTGTATTTTGATAAGGTAAAGAAGTTGTATTCATCTTGTAAGTTTTACATATTGTGCAATATACTGTTTCATTTTATGGTTTATATATATTTTTTATAATGAAATGGAAATACCACATTTTATTGAAATCAAGTTTTTGTGATTTTATGTGGAAACATAAATTTTTACGAACTATTTTGAGCATTTCTTTCACATTTGTTCATACAATTTTTTTAGTCAAATTACATATTACACAAATACACCTGTACTAAAAATATTATGCATTATAGATGGATCATGTTGCTGATTCAATATGTACTTTATGTTTTTTTGTTGTTCATGGTGCTAGATTTATCATATTTTATATTGTTTTTCTATTCAAAGGCTTTGAACTTGCTAGTAAACTTTTCTTTTTCAAAAACAAAATTTTATTCATGCTGCATAATACATAATAAATACTTTAACATTCCAGTTTCATTATTTTTAACTCATTTTGTAACCTTGGTGCAGTTACTGGTTAACTCCTTATATGATTTATTAGGAGTTAACCCGTTATTGCAGTAAGGAGATAAATTTTATTGATCATGTATAGAGGAACAATATGTATATACCAGGTTTTATCACTTTAAACAGAATACTTATATTATCAATAATCAGTTTTATAACAGATCTGAATAAGTTTATCATTTTTCTTTTGCTTTATATGTCGAATGAATTTCAAAAGTTTTACCCTTTTCTTCCGAATGAGATTACCTTGGTTTGATTCTCAATTTCAAGGTCAAAGTGCCAAAAATGAGGCAGTCAATATTAAAATATCTGTCAAGACTGCCTACATAGAGAAGTTGTGTAAGTTGGTAACATAGGTCAGATTCTATCACTGCAATCATCGAGGGAACTATATTCATTTTAATTACCTTGCAAAATTTTCAAAATTATCCAAGATCTGAACATTAAGAACATTATTGTTTGGTATTTGAGGCTTGTGATACACCTTTGTAATAAAATAGATAACTGAAAGAAAGTGTTTGTTTTAAACTATATTTAGGACACCATGAATTGCTGAACTATACAAACACAATACATTGTGCACCTCCTCCTTTTGATCATTGTACCTTTTTGGGGGAGTTTGATATTTTAGCTCACCTGAGAACAAATCTGTTACTGGCAGAGCTTTAAGAAATAGAAAAAACGAGAAGCGCCGCAATGCGACAAATACCAGGTTTTCAACTGCCAAGTATTGATGTGACAGGAATTAGGAATGAAATATGACAGTGAAGTAAAAATAAAGTTTGGTTTCAAAAAGGTCACAGCAAACTACTTATTTGGTGGAAACTGAATTTCTTTTTTTTTAAGGAACAGTGACCTTGACCTTGTTCACAGACACCTGAGTAGCAATCCAAATTTGCCTCTTGATATCAGCTACCCACATACTAAATTTCGTGTCAATAGGTCTAAGCAAATTCAAGATATTGAAACTTAATTTATAATTTTAGCAACAGTGACCTTGACATTGATCACAAATACAAAGCTGCCTCTTGATATGAGCTACTCACACACCAAGTTTTGTGTAAATAGGCCAAAGCAAACTCGAGTTATTGAGCGGAAACCAAAGTTAAGGCCCGCCCGTCCGCGGACTTCGGCATTACAATAACCTGGTTTTCGTTGAAAACCTGGTTAAAATTTTACTTGACATCGTGGTCTCAATCACTCAATAGATTTTGATGAAACTTTTCAGTAATTTTAGAAGTTTCTCTGAATCAAAATTCGGTGCTGCTAAACAAAATGACAAAATTAAGCGTACAAACTAACGAAACAGCGAATAATTATGGTTATGATGTATGTTAAAAGGCACATCCTTATAACTTTGTTTTGGGTAAAGTTATTCCTATCTAGAGAAAATCAACATTTTCTGACGTACTTTACAGTGTAACCCATACAGTACAAAACAGATTTTAACACTCCATTATAATATCAAATTTCATTTAGCATAAATCAACGAAAGCAACCCTGTTTTGTGTATATACGAGCATATTTGAGCCGCGTCATGACAAAACCAACATAACAGATTTGCGACCAGCATGAATCCAGACCAGCCTGCGCATCCGCGCAGTCTGATCAGGATCTATGCTGTTCGCTATCAGTTTCTGTATTTGTTATAGAGTTGTAAGCGAACAGCATGGATCCTGATCAGACTGCGCGGATGCGCAGGCTGGTCTGGATCCAAGCTGGCCGCAAACCCATTATGTTGGTTTTGTCGTGACGCGGCTCATTTGTAGAAGCTAAACTGATTTACACAGCGTGACAAAAAATGTCCAAATCATTTGTCACACGGGACCGGAACATGTAAGCTAATGATGGAGTTTTTCAGAAAAGTTGCTACAGCACTTTTGATAACAATCATTTCTTGAAATCTCTCAAGAAACTTGATAAGATTTTTTTTTACCATCCGCCCACAAGCCATTAATCATCAAATTTATAACCGCCGAACAACCTGACAAGATACACTTGACCTTTTATATCAATTTCACCGAACGACTACATATACAACTAAACATTAATACAACTAAATTATGATATTTTTTTTTAATGAAATATTCAACGGAATTTATTAAATCTGGGCCATACTATAAATTACATTATATATTTCCCAATTTAATCTACATATTAAAATATCTAAAAGTAAGTATATTATATCAGGTAAATATTAACCTTATAATATCATGCGTGTTTTCACTAAAATAGTTTTATTTAATTGTAGCCAGTTTTGCATTAAACTACTTGAATGTGAACTTGAAAAGTTTTAAGAATAATTTTGCCACATTTGATGTACTATGAGTATAGATACTATCTTAACATATAAATGATAAAAATGAGATTTGCCATATCTCACTTAACATAAATGTATTTTTATATAAAAACAATTAGATCTATTAAAACAAAAAGTGTCTCTCACACAGCTCTAAAGGTCTGTTTTATTAGCACTTGTCTTAATTTCTTGTTTGATGTTTGAAGGTTTATAGTGACAATATTTTTATTTTTGTAGGCTAACTTTACATGCGAATGAGTCACACTTTTTCAATATAAATAATAATGTTAATGGAGTGTAATAGCGTCACGAGTATTATAAGTATTACAGGCAATCAAAAAATTATAGAGAAAAAAACATCAATTATATGTTACACTTTTGCATAATACACAACTTTATACGCTATACAGTTTTCTATAAAATCACAAATTGTTATGCTTTAATAGTAACATACAAAGCAATGTCCGTTGTTCGTATCATAGTTTTCGCCTTATAATTCTGTTAGTTAAAGTATGTTTTGCTGCGCACTGCAGAATTACGTCATTTAATGTTTATTGCTATAATCATGTTGGCTTGTCTGTTGGCTAGTCCGACAAACTTTAATCCGCTTCCAGATATTCGTTATTCTCAGAACAACATTGTGCAATATCCCCGCTCCCTGAAGCGAGATTCTGAACTAGAATAAGAAAGTACAATATATATGTCAGAATCATGTATCCACTTGTCTTTATGTAGAAACGTAATTAGGGTCGAAACTGGTACTGCATCAGCCACTTAATTAATACTCGTACACTTTGTCACTTATAATCAAAACGGAAATTAATATTATTCATTTTACAATCTAATGCTTTTACACTGCCAATTAACAACGTGAATAATATTGATATAAGTAACAGATGTTCTATACAAATGTTTCTGTTTTACGCAGTTTAATGTACACTGTTATACATAAAAAATAAAATCAAAACTCGCACTATCCTAGGTGATCCGGAGGCGGCGGTGGTGGGCGTGTTGAGGATCTAGGATTCGCATTCGCCACGCCCAGTCGTGCAAAGTCTCGTTGCTGTACACCTATTCGTTCTGGTCTGGCTTCTCGGTTTTGGCGAAGTCTCGGCTGCATCCCTGGTTATGTTTTGACCTTCGTTTGGTTCTCTGGTTTTGTGTAATAGTGAGTTCATTGACTGGCTCCCATAGTTATACATGTAATATTTACTGTAATATTCACACTAATATGTTCATAACATATATAATTATATTTCCATTTAGTGAAAAACAACCTGAATTCACAAACACTGTTCACTACTGCGTCAACATCTAAGATGAGCGTCGCAAGAGGTAGATATTATATATCTGTTTCTGGTTTGAAATTGGCTCTCTCGTCATCAAAACCTTTAACAGTGGTTAAAGAGATGCATATGTATATCGATAAACTATCTTGTGTATTTTTGTTTTATGTCAATCTTAAACAATCAATGCACATATATTTTAATTGTATAATTTATCTATAAATTGTGACTTCTCTTTCTTACGTAAGATTTTTTATTTATTTAATTGTGTACTTTCAACTATCGTTATCGTATTTTACATAGAAGTTTCAAATCATAACCAAAGACAGATTAAAATGCACATTTAATGTATCCTGTTTAAAGGTCAATATAAAGGGTAAAATAATTCAGAAATCAACAAAATGGCATCAAATATAATAGGGGTCAGTTTACCTTTCGGTAGGTAGTATATGACCAAGGGATTTGAGGCCCTAAGTAAGTAATTATCAGATCTGCCATCACATACCCATTTAATGTGATTGTTTTATTTCCTTTTTTTTTTTCAAATGTGTCAATATCTTCATTATCATAAGTCCATCTTGACTGTCACAGCATAAAGTACTTTTTTCAATTTTAAATCTTGGATTTTCATTTATCATGCATCCAGTAGATCTCCAAAAATCGCGCGCATCCTATATAACAATAAAAATTTTTTTTAGGAGTTATGCCCCTTTTTAACATATATAATGTAATTCAAGACTGGTAAGGTGGGTATATTTCAGGTAATCCTACTCAACATTTCTTACATGTATAAAATCACCAGTTTCGTATCTTATACAAGTAGATATCTCTAGTGATCAGGGAAAGTAGCCGATTCTGGTACACTACACTACTCGGAATCAGTAAAGACAAGTTGCTGAACGAAGTACATGTACAAAAAAAATGTACTACGAACGCACGATCCACATTTATGAGAAGTTGATTCAATGGCACGGATGCTGCAAATCCTTGAGTTATATTCATTCTGAGTTTTAATTAGTACATTATCATTTCAGTCTCAGGTTACTGTACATGTATGTTCTAATTGGCCAACGTACATTGACGTACCTTCCTTTGGCACAAAATTCATATCTTTGGCTAATACTAATTAAGTAAAGACCACACACTTCAGTTTGTACTCAACTGTCATTTATCATAGCAGCAATGGGGTCGGTTTGGCCCCACTTACTGCGCATGCGCAAAATTATTTTCATAGTTTGTCCCTGATATCGTTTTATGACGTAGTATGCACACACTTTTTATGAAAAACTTTGAAGTCGTCCATTACACAAGAGATGTTCCTTCTTAAGTATCTTCTCAAACCCAAAGCCATAGCTTTCAGTGCTTTTTGATTCACTTGGAAAAAGCCCTAAAAGCTAAATTAATTCTTTTAATCAACATTCCTAAATAACCCCCTTTTGTCATTATTTTATAATAAATAATCTAACTAACAAAACACCTTTGTTCGTCCCCGTCTAATAAGATTAATTATATAATACACACTACTTCATTACGTATCTAACCAACAATAGATTGCGTAATGCTATTCAAACTATAATCCAAAATAA